GCGCGCGTCACAGCCACGTCAAGTAACTCCGCAGCTGCTGACACGGCAAGCAGCTCAAAAAGGGGTGGGGGTGGTGAAACTTTGGTGCCAAGTGATGCGACAAAGTAGTGGTCCGCCGTCCCCAGCCCCTCCCCGCCCCCGCTGTGTGCCAGCTCGGGTTTCAGCGACTCGAGCCGGCAACGCAGGGGACTTGGGGGCTGGCCTCCATCTCTTTTGGGCATGTGTCGGCACCCACAACCGCAACCACTTGGCCAGTTGGGCCATTAGGCGTGGCTTCACCTCAGTTCACCGCTCGGATGCTGCAGCTACCCTGCGAACATGCCCTGAGTGGTCCATCATTAGCAACTGAGCATGTATAATCAGGCAATTCAGTGTCCACTTTGTGTCTAGTCTGCTCGGCAGTGACCAGTGCCCAGTGCCCAGTGACCACTGCCCATCCCATTGCTCGGCATCTGTTGTCGGGTCTGTCACCGCAGGCATGTGTGCGATGTCAACAGACTTAAGCGCAGTTCATAGTTTGTAACCCGACACCGAATCGATGCAGTGGCTCCTACCCGTGGTCCCCTCCTGTCCGGCGAATCAACCGCAGGACCCGAGGGCAGCTCATTCCCACCCAAATTTGCTCGATCCCTTCTCGAGCAGTCCAAGTCCAAGTGTGTCACCGGGAGCACAGGGCAGATGGTAGGGAAAAGGGGCAAAGGTCCAAGCCTGAGGGCCATTCTTGACCAGGCAGTGACTCCAAGGCCACGCCCTCTTTCTACGGCGGCGCCAATTAGTGGGATAGCCTCGGACTAGGGCTTGATCTGGGTTGAGTTGGCTTCTGTTGGCTTGGGTTGGCTTGGAGCGGAGGTCCAGGCCAAGCATGAGAAATCTGTGTGTGCACTGGCGAAAAGAGTCCTTGTCGGCCAGCAATTGTGCCTGGCCAAAGACAAGATAGGAACAATTTGACCAAAGAAGTCGGCCAGTACAGCCTAGGGTTAACTATTAACGTTTAAACAAGTTTAAGACAGATTTGACGTCACTCTATTATAGTTATTGTTCACTGCTCTATCTGACCTTTGAAAAACCGAACAAGCAGACATACTTGAAGAAGTGGGGATCATAAGATATATTTGTATTTCTCTTTGGTAAATAAGTAAATAAGTTTCATAAACAAAGACCTATTACACAATATGGAAGCCTATAGAAAGTCATGGTTTAATTTGTCCACCATAAGTTTGAGTTGTTGGGAGTTCTGGCCCCATTTACGGATGGCTATTTTCCCCCAGTGTGTTTGCGGCGGGGACTCGATGTCTGTCACTCCCCCCAAAAACTCTTCGGCTGGGCGAGCCATTGTCCAGCTCGACTTGGCCTGGCCCCATCCCGTCTCGCTCGTCTTGGCCGCAGGCTTTGGGCCCATTTCTTTTCATTTCCCCTCGACCATGCCGACCATTTGTTTGAGGCTTGTTTCGGGAGCAGGACACAATGCTGCTGGATTGCCCTTGGCTCTCACACACCCCAGTGTGTGGGACAGGCAGTTGGCTGGGGAGAATCAATTTACGGCATCGGCCGGTCGGTCGGGCGAATATTTGCACGCTGCCAATAAACACGGACTAGCAGGGGAACTCACACTGTGATTCCCCGATGCCAGGATGCCAGGATGCCAGGATGCCAGGATGCCAGAATGGCAGCACCTGCTCCCCACCCACTACGCACCCACTCGAACTCTCTATCCCAGCAGCAATCTCACGCCATTAGAAGTGTCCGGTTCGAGGGAGCTGGGGAAGAACTGGACCGGCCACCTGGCAGGTGTGGAAAGCGCTTGCAGTTAACGACAGGAACTGGCTTCAACAGCTTATAATTGCGAGGGTGTTGCTCATGTTGATGCTGCTGTCTGGTGCTCGTCCCTGGTCCTGGGGAAAGGGGATGGCATGTGGACAAGGTGTAAACAAGGTTAACGGCGCTGATAGCACCGCACTCGCTGGTCATTCATTACCGATTGCAGTGCCCAGATGGTAATCTCCGGTTCAATGGCTAATAGTAAAAGAGCATGCGGCCCGTGGAAAGTGGGAGATGGCGACCCCTCCCCAAAGGCAACGGGGATGACAAGAAAAATGACTTACGGCTGTTGGGGATCAGAGTTGTCGGACACTGACAATGGAGTGATATATGATACGTGAGTTCCGTTCAGTTCCGCTGGGTTCGTTCAACTTAAAATGTCATTTAGCAAAGTGAGCAAAGCACCAAGTCCGGCTTGGTGGGATTATTCAATCATCCGCTCACTGACAGCCATTGCCTGCGCATTGCTCATACGCCACGTGGCCGTCGGCAAGAACGAAATTTGGTGCGGCTGAAATTGCGCTTTATTTGGAATTGTGTGAAGCGGCACTCACCCAATTTCAAATAAAGCGCAATTTCCGGAAACGTAATAAAAGCAGAGCCAATACTGTGAACTCAAAGTGGGAACTGTTACCGGTACACATCTAGTTTTTAAAACGAAGAGTTAATAGTAAGGTATATAAATAATCATTTTCCAAATACAGATTGGGCTACTATACCGGTGGAAACCAGTTCGTAAACCGAAACGCAAACATCAAAGCGACTTTCAAATCGGACAGTGAATAACGGACAACGGACCACGGACAACAGAAAAGTCACGGGGCAGTGAAAAACGTACGGGAGCCACTCAAATGCACAAAAAGCTCAACTATCCCATCAATTTGGCCTCGCTGGCTGCTGCTACTATTGTAATGCAATTAATGCAAGTTAGTCGGATGAGCAGATACTAATGACGCTTCAAAAAATGGGTGGGGGGGTCCGCACTGCACGAAAGTCGTATAACAGATTGCATGTACTTGTGTGTGCACTGAGTGTAGTACATGGCCAACCTAAAATGGTAAACCTGTTAGAATGCCAATAGTGATGTTAAATAGAGATACAACTCATTTGGCTGCTATCCACTCCCTTTTCAAAGTGTTCAGTAGATGGACCATCATTTCGTAAACCCTCTCATAGAGTGGACCAGTTTCAGGTACCCATTTTGTTTTCCCTACTCAAAGACCAGCTACAGCCTTTATGAGTGTCTGAGGTGATTGCCCGCAATTTGGCCTGCCCCGCTTTCCATCGCCGCAAATGAGCCAAACTCGATAATCAGGCCATCAAAGTTTATGGTTGCCACAAGAAAGAGGCAAGCACACACTGTACCGCCCCTCGTCCTCGCCTGGTTTCCATTTGTTGTGTCTGGGGGTTAAAGTAATACAATTTCGTATGAAATTACTTTGACACAAAATCATCAACTACGGGGCAGACTGCGTGGAGCTTGGGTTTCGCCTTCAGCCGCTCGAAAGGGAAGGCACTTGACTTCACTTCGATGAATGGGGCTCATCCAACTCAATGGGAATGGCCTGGGTTGGATGACAGCTTCAACTGGACGACCGCTTAATCGATTTCAATTTCCATACGACTGTTATAGAATTTGCTGGCACAAGTCGGGCCGAACTATGGCCAGCAATCAATGGGAATAATGTGGAGTGGTGGTGGGAGTGGGAGTGGGAGAGGGGGTGCAATCAGGCAAAGAAAGGCAAAGTTTTTCACCTAAGGAGGATGCACAAGGGGCGAAGTAAGGGGGCCGCGCCAGAAATCAAGGCAGCATCCACGCGCTTATTGTTCGAGAAATAGAGAGAAATAACAATCGTTTGAACAACTGAACATCTGAACAAGCTCTGTCCCTGTCAATGCAAGTGTGCGTGGGTGCAAAAGCTATAGAAATCCATTATAAATTCCCCATAGACTTACACACTCGACGGGACGTGGAAGGGACGTTGAGGGGCAGGGGCAATAAGCAGACAGACTTTGTTTGCCATGTGTTGTAATTTGCGTACACACAGATACTCGAGCTGTGTGTATGGATGCGAGCATGTTCTCAAGGTCCTGGCCATAATAAACATTTAAACATCATTGAAAATTCATTTGGGTTTTGTTTGCACTCGCATTTTGTCCGCTGCCCGCTCTTCTCCCGCCCCTCTGTTTGTTTACTTTATCAATTTGGCCAACAAAAGTGTGGAAACGCAACATAAAATTTCAATATGCCCCAAACTCGCCCCCCACCATATGCCCCATTTTATAACTCTGCATATTTTTCTGCTGGGAGTGATGGGAGTGAGGGGTTGGGGAGTGGGAGATGCATGTGGCACAGAGAATGCAATTTGTAGGCATGGACACTCCGAGCGCAGTCCTGGCAACCTTTTGAAATGAAATTTTGCACTTGCAAAACGGAATCTGGAATTCGGGTTCATGCAATCAAAGGAGGTAGCGGGGCGATAGACCGGTTGAATTGCTGGAATCACATTAAGCACTTGGCAACACTGTTGCACGAATGCATGCCGTGGCAACTCTGCGCTGCTGAAATTAAAGTTGTCACTCAATCAAAACAGAGTCGCTAATCAGACAATTCTGACCCCCAAAAATATTACTTGCCCCAGATCTCTATTTTAAAGCTTTCTCATTAAGTCTGTGACACAAGGCACTTGGTGATATTGAGATCACTGTGCAACTCTGTGCACAGTCGGCTGCCCTGGCAACCCTAACTGACTGAAATTTGGCATTTGCAAACATAATGAGAAATTCGATTGCCACTCTATCAACGTACATTGGCATTTTCTATTATTTGACCCCTTATCTTATTTGCCTTTCTGGTACAGTCCAGCCTGAATCAGACATTTATTTATGTCGGCCGCGTTTTCTCCATCGCATTAAGCATTTTCCTTCGTTCCCCATTTTCATTATCATTTTCATTTGCATTCCTGCTTATTTTTCGTCGTCGTGGGTGGTGAAGGGGGTTAAGCGCTTAAGTAGCTCCAAATGAACGGCCATTAAAAGTGCGCACGCAATTAAGCGCCGGCCAGGTGTTGCGGCCCACGACCTGCGAACCTCCTGCGGACCTCCCGTGGCCACAACCCACACCCCACAAAACAGTAGCGAGTAGTAAGTGGAGAAAGTGGAGAAAGACAAAGAACACTCACCTGTCGGACTGGGCGTCAGCGACATCATGTCGAAGTGGATGTTCTTCTGCTCGAAGGAGTAGTCCTTGAGGAAGGTCAGCTTGGCGCCGCGCGTCTTTGTAAGGCCGGTGACCGCGTTGTTGATGCTGCGCAGGTACTCGCGCTTTCCGAAGTTCGTGTGGGGTGCGATCAGGCCGATGTTGAGCTGCTCCTTGTTGGCCGCCGCGCCCTTGCTCAGGCTGCCGCCTCCGTTGGTCAGCCGGAGGGAGTGGCAGCTGTCCAGGATCAGCAGGAGCAGCAGGAGGATCAGCGGGAGGGAGCCGCTTGGAGGGGTTAGTCGTCTATTGCTATTGTGCTGGCAGCTGGCAGTGTTGGAAGTGGTGTGGGCCTCGTCGTCGTCGTCGGTCGTCCTCAGGCTCGGGGGCTCATCCGTGCCGCATTTCAGTTTGACGCGACTGGGCATCATGACTGTGGACTGGGCCTCGAAGTTCGCTGGGATCCGGTGCTCGGTGCTCCGGTGCTCTCTAGTGCATCTGGCCGGGATGTGGTTGGGCGATGCTATTGTTCCGCGTGTGGATGGATTGCGTTCTCCTCAGCAGTCTGGATACGCTTGCCAGCCGTTTCGCCCTCAGTTCGCTTTCCAGGGGAGTTTTCGAGTTTGAATTGGGTACTGCGCATTGCTAGATTTAAACGGGCAACAGAAAACATTTACACGTACCCGCCCTCAGCCACACCCACACCCACTTCCACTTCCACGCCACCCACTCACCGTCACACCCATTTAAGCACATTAAGACCTAGGCAATAACATCTGCAGCAGTCGCAGCAGCAGCAGCATTGGCAACATTCGTCGTTGACGTGTTCCGCCATTTCAGTTTCCGCTACTAATTTGTTATGTCCGGAACTGTGGAGCGCACTACGAAAATCGTTGGTCGTTTGAGGGGAGTCCCGATAGCGTCGTTTTGGGCCCACTGTGCGCGCCATTTATGGACACACAACCCAGGCAGGTGCAGGTGCTGCCTCAACTTAGTTACTGATGCGAGGATACTCCTCTTCCAGCAAGGAGTCGTCCATGCTCAGGTGGGGAATGTAAGTGTCATCGCCTTTGCAATGATGCGATCTTCAGGGGTCCAATCAACTAGACTGCTTAAGCATTTATTTAATTGCCTTGAATTCATTTATACATCCTGCATAAATGGAAGTCGAAGCAGCGAACAATGCATGAGAAGTCTGTACTACGTAAATGTCAGGTATTGTTTTTCGGCTTCTAGGGTACTTCATCCTTCGAACCCCTGCCCTGCGTTTTTCACTCGGATTCAATTTGAGCGCAGCCTGCCATTCTACATAAATTAAATGCGACATTGTTCCGCATAATCGCAGCTCCACACACACCCTGGCTCCTGGCTCCTGGATTCTGTATTCCGCTTTCTGCTTTCTGACCCACCCCGCAGGGAATGCGGCAATTGCTTGTGAAATTTTCACTTTGAATTTTGACTGCCGCTTGTAGCAGCAGTAAAAGCAAAAGCAGAGCAGCCAAAGCAGCGGAATCAGAAATCAGGAGTTGGACTGCGAGCATGGGTGTGGCTAGATAGCGCCTCTGTCAGTCCTTTCCCTCCGAATTTCCGCCCTGTTCCTGCCATTAGTTATCATCATTAATATCCCCACATATTGCCGCTGATGGCTGTTTCCCTGTATCTACTCCCTTTGTCTGGCCGAACTTGTAGCTGTGGGTCCACCGAAAAAAACTAATCCTTGACCGAAATAAATTGGCCAACATTAGGGAAACATCTAGTGAGGTGGCCTCGGAATATTTAGCTTGTGTCCTATTCCTTGAATCGCTTTGAGTCAGTTTTAGATAATGTAATTTATTTGTCACTTTCTTTTCCTTCGACATACGATGGAATATACCACTGTTTTATATTATTTTTTCTGTGTGCACTGCCAAAGCTCTGGCTTTGGGTTTGGGCGTCGCCTGCTGCGGCTTCGTGTCATCATCGAATTCCACCCCCAGCCCCTGCGCGGAGGAGGGGGCGTGGCGGGTTGGGGAGGCTGCAGGGGTTCTAGCTCCTGCGTCAGCAAGTTGCTCGACTTCAATTCGTGTTGCGGCGGTCGTCGCCTTTCGGGGCGAAGCTGTTTGGGCTTATAATTTGTCGGCTGTCGTCCCGCGTAGCCTCTGGTCTGGCTTAAACTGTGTTTTGACACTTAGCTGCCGCCTGGCTGTCAATAAGCAAGGAAGAGCCGTTTTCCGCCGACTTTCCCCGGCCCCATGCGCTGCTCGTTGGCAGGAAAGAGTGATTACTTTGTTTGGCCCAAGTAGGCACAAAGGCGGCAGTGGCAGCGGCAGCGGCAGGACCCCAACCTTGTCCTAGCGCTCCTGCTCCTGCTCCTGCTCCGCTTGCAATGACTGCCAAAGGCGCCGAAGGTCATGGGCTCCTCAGCGACTCTCTTCGCTTTATCCATTTCTCCAGGCTCATCTCTATGCGCCTGTGCCTGTGTGTGTGTGTGTGTGTGTGTGTGTGTTTGGACAGCCGTAAAATGTCTTCTTCTTCTTCGTATGTGTGTGTCTACATGTGTTTCGTACTTTTCGTACATGACGGCGACAATAAATTGTATCTTATGAGAAAAGAATCCCAAACAACGGACATCCCAGCTAACGAGGCTCATAGTGGCTCCACATTCCCCACAACCCCCGCCCCTCCGGCTCATCAGCGTGTTTGGAGTAGTGTTTGGGGCTACATCATTCATCTGAGGTGTAATGAATTCACGGCGTATTAAACTTTTGATTGAAAATGTTTGTTGCCCTGGCTCTTCTTGTTAACATCACTTCCTTGTGTTGTTGTTGTTGTTGTTGTTGCTGTAACAGTGGCATTATCATCCTCTCTCCTTTGCCGGTGTGTGCGTGCGTCTGTCTGTCTGTTTGTCTGTTCGTCTGTTCGTGAGGGTGCGTGTGGGTGAGTTTATGACTTTGGGGACAGCTTCTGCTACTAGCACACTAACTTACAAACACACATCCTCACACACACACACACACACACACACACGCATATGCGCTGAGAAAGGAAGCCAAACTCCTGCACAGAAAGGAAAAATGTATTGAAAATGATGACCAAGTTGCTGATTTCTCTGTCATTTAGGAAGTAGACCATACCATATGGATTAAAAGACAAGTCAATAGTATTGAGTATGAAAAGTATCAAATGGGAAAACATTTTGTGACACTGTACCACAGCAATAAAAATAGCCTGGCTTTGATTTGACCGAAAATATTAATTGCTTCGGACATGAACTTTCTCTGTGTTCTTATATGTATGTATTCTACAGCTGAACCCCTTTGACAGTTATTTACTTTTTAGCATGGCTTGCCGCTTTCTTCTTTGCTCTCTCTTCCACTGACCACGCCCACAAATGCAATCTATTTATTTCATTCCCTCTCCTCCTGCTCTGCTCCTTCCCCACCTCTTTCCGTGCTTTATCGTTGCCAGCCAACGGATCCTTGTTTGGCCAGTGCCGAATGGGCAAGCCTTAGGCCAAAACAGACGGTTCGGCGGATGAGTGGGTGGTTGGGTGTCTAATTTGACAGTGCGTCGACCGCTGTCAGACCCCTCCTTTCCCTTTTTCCCTTTTTCCCCTCTAGACAAACATGGCTGGTTGCTTATTAGTTTGGCCCAAACGCTTTTTCTTTATCCCGGCGACATTTGCCTTATTTTTCTTCTCGCATTCCCGCAAAAGGCCAGAAAATGTGCGCCGGGCGTGAAAAATGATTGCGTGTTATCTTCGTGACACTGGTGGTGTCCCCCTCTCCGTTACCTCAACCTCCCCCTCACCCTCACCCTCACCCGCCGAGGTCCTGACTGGCACCTAATTCATTAGATCAGCTTCCTTTAGCCCTCTTGTTTCGGCTTGTTGTGCCGCCAAAACAACAAGCAAACAAAAGTTTGCTGCCCAAAGTTGGCCGAATGCAAATCCCGCTGCAACAACACGACGGGAAAACAGAAACAGAAACAACTAACACAGTGCCAGTTTGAGCCCGTCTCGTGTGTGCGTTGTGTTGGCCCAAAAGTTTCGGCTTCCGACTGGGCTGCAGTTGCAGTGTTGTTCGTTGGTTGTTACGACACAGCAGCAACATCCTTAACCGCTGACCTTCAGTCGGCAGCCTCATCTGTCAGACATCGACACCTCCTTTTAAGTAAGGTGGGAAGCTGGTCCCAAGATCTGACAGGTGCACTGCACAGAAAACCAAATAATCCCTAATGGGGTGATCACAAGTCTCTAGAGACTTTGCCTTCCATTGATTCGCGCAAGAAACCAATCGGTGCCACATATACATTTGTTTAGAAAGACATTTACTTTAGAGCTTGGGACAAGAGTTTAATAAGGTTGTCTTGAAATTTATGAGATTTCCTTTTCGAAGTTCGGTGGACTTTAAAAGGAGAAATTTTGGTGGCACCCACCTTAGTGGCACAACCTTTACTAAAACAATTGTCTGTGATCTTACGTTACTTTCCGTCGGTGAAACTAAAAGGAACTTATTTGGGATCTTAGCTAAAGAACTTGTGGCTCAAATCAAAAGTATTATGGTTTTTCGAAGAAACATTAATGATTTGTATCCCAACTGATTTTCTGTTAAATATTTGGAAATAAGAACAGTTGGGATGCCTGGACTTGTGAGTGTTTACTGAAGCCCATCGATTTGGTTAAAAATGCAGTGAATGAGTGCTTTTCCACCCCATTCCGGTTTGTTTACGCTCCAGGCTGCAGCAGTCAAGTAGGGCAGAACGGGGCGAAAGAAGGAAGTGGAAAGTAGAAGGGGGGCGCAACGCGCGCCAAAAGCCGCCCAAGGCTGCTCCGCTTGGCCTTCCGCCTCAAATTAGCGAAAATTTAATAATAATAAAAATCTCAAACTTGTTGGGGGCGATTGGTGCGAGTGGGTGGTGGTGCAGTGGTCTCAAGTGGGTGGTTGTGGGTGGCGGACTGGTAGGCTGTCGGGGGTCTGTCATAGCAGGCTCTTAATTAAAATGTGTCGCAGGGGTGGCTTTGGGGGTGGGGCTTGGTGGGTTGAGGCTTTTGTTTTGCTTTCGCGCTGTTTTTCTTCGGCACTTTTGATGCACTTGGCCATTGTTGTAGCGCTGGCTGTGGTTATTGTTGTTGTTGTTGTTGTTGTTGTTATTGGCACACTCACTCACACACTTGAACAAAAACAAAATAAAGAGCGACGGCGACAGCGACAGCGACAGCTACGCTGCGGCTGCCACTGCATTTCTCTATTGCACTTTTTTATTTTAATTGTAAATGCTGTTTTTGTAGCTGTTGTCGCTATTTGGGGAAAGTTTTGTTGCAGGCTGGCTGCGAGGGGGTGGTGTCCTGGGGGGTGGCGAGGGAGAAAGCCAGCGACTGAAACTGAAACATGAAACAAGTCCACACCCAAAAATTCAAAGACACGCACAACGACAACGACAGCAGCGATGACGACGACGCAGCCTCGCACAGACACAGGCACAGCCACAGCCACACACGTACACATACACGCCCAAAAAAAGCTACGAAAAAAGTTCATCTATTTTGTTGTTTTTTGCCATCATTTCGCTGTGCTTTCTCTATTTCTTCCCCTCCCCTCCCCTCCCCTCCCCACACTGTTTGTGTCCTTTTTGCTGTCGCTGTTGCTGCTGTTGCTATTGCTATTGCTGTTGCTGTTCCTGTCTTCTTTGTTATAAAACAAAACACAATCGGATTGGCAAAAGGGCGGGGTGGACGAATGGGGCGTCGCAGGTCCTGGGCTTACGTTTACGTTCGCATCCTGGGCGCAACGCTCACTTGGTCTGGCGGTCGAGTCTAGGCCTAGGCGTTAGTTGTGTCCACTTGTCCGAGCTCTAGTTCGGGCGGTCCGCTCCAGCCGGGCCAAGCCAAGCTCAGACTTTGAAACCTGGCTATCTGGCTCTGGACGTCGGCAGGCAGCTCCTGCGGATGCGGATGCGGACGAACAGAACCGAACAGGACTCTGAACGGCACGAAGCGAGCGGAACGGAACGGAGCGCGTCTTGCGGACTGAAAGCGACGAGCCACCGAATGGCACTGCCAACCCGGGCCCAGAGCCCAGCCGTATAGTCATCCAGCCATCCAGCCGTGGAGCCGCCTCCCTCGAGAGCAAGAAGAAGCAGGCCCAGCATCCGCGAGTCTGTACGAACCCCAAAACACGACGGATGGAGCTCGTTTTTCCGCCGGGGGGGGGGGAGGGGAGGGGGAGGGGGTCAAAGGAAGTGGAATCCACAGGAGCCGCCGAGCACTGTCAATGTCACAGAGAGAGGCATTGACTTGGTTTCGATTTCGATTTCGTTTCGTGTCGTTTCGTTTCGGCTTGTAACACGCCCTCCTGCAGCGTATACGTAATATTTCTGCTCTCGCGTCCAAAGCTCTCTCACTCTCTTTTGGATGCTGGTCGCGTGCCAAACCCATTGACAGGGTGGCCACCCAGTCGGCAGGAAGTGCAACCCTACCATACTCTTTAATACAATGCTATTTCCATACGAAATTTAAAAGACATCATCCAATCTTAAGGGGAAATGAATTTTATTGACAGGATTTGGACTCGGCTTAAATGGGCAAAACAAATTTACATATTTCCTTAAAAATTGTGAATATTTGATTCCAAAAAATCGAGATATTGCGAGTGTGCTTACTATTTTTAATTCAGACCGATTGATTTTTAGTTGTTACTACAACAATGAGCAAAATTAGAATTTTACCCATCCGATGACAGTTATAGAATATAGTCAGATTGGACCACAATAAAGTGCGATTTGGAATGGTATATGTTGATATGTTATAAACAGCGCCAATAAACTGGATAAAACCTTACGGCCAGTATGACAGATATTTCAAAAATATAGGATAAGTGATCTTATTTTAATAAAACTTAAGATAGTGGTTCAAAGATGGGATAAAAGCATTATTTAAAATTGAGCTCGCAAACGTTATAGAAACAGACGGACACACCTTTCGTTGTTTTTCATCATACATACACGCATACAACTAAAATTTAATTTTTCTAACGACTTTAAAAACACATTTTTAGACTTATAAAAATGGAACGAATCATATATATTCCAAAGGGACGGGATAATATTATTGTTTTAAGCATTTTCGCATGTTATGTTGTCGATGAATAGAATAATACATTTTTGATATAACTGCAGGGATATAAAAACTTCGGCTTGACGGACTAACCTTTCATTCTTATTCTTGATTGATTCTCTATAATAGAGAATGACTTTAATTTTTATCTCAGCCCGAGACATCCGGCAACGCTTGAAGTTCCACCTTTGGGCTACTGCGTCTGCGTCGCTCTTTTAAAAAGGAGGATGCTGAGGTGCTGGGGCAGCGCACAGGGGGCAGGGGGAACCGGACAGGCCTTTTGGGCTTTTCCTCGACCTCGACGGTTCGACTGCTGCACAGTTCGACCGCTCCACTGCTGAAGAAATATCCAAAAACCACGTGTTGATTTGTTTTGATTGTGCGCACTTTGTGCGACTTAGCTCCTGCTTCTGCTGATTCCGATTCCAAAGCTGAGGCTGTCTTTGGCTCTTCTCTGGCTTTGGCTTTGGCTTGAATCCTTTGCGGCATGCTCCCTGCGCAGCCAGGCGGCAGCGATGGAGCGACCATTCACGGAACCTAGTCCTAGTCTATCCGCTCCTGCTTCGCTTGGCCACCGTGGTGGGCAGAGTGTTCAAAGTGTGAAAATACAGAACGTTTGGATGACGAAACTTAATTTCTGCTTCATCCACCATAATTACATAAATTAGGGAATAATTTGAGCAATTTTTGTTTGGCACACAAGTCGTATGAGCAACAAATTCTCAGCGAGTACCAAGTCGTATGAGCAATATATTTCGAGCGAGTACCAAGTCGTATGAGTAATATATCTTTTGAGTGTACCAAAACTTTTAGCACAGATAATATACATTTTTCTTTCTTAATTCAGTTTGGCTCAACTGAATCATTATAAATTATTAAATAGATATACAATTAAAAAATATTTATTCAGCATGTAAAAGAAATCGTATCTGGGGCTTCTACACCACCGTGACCGCGATGCTCATCGAGTGTGGTGTGCTTCAAGCGCTGGCAGTTTTCCTTCGGCTTTCGGTCGTGGCTTCGGTCTGTGTCTGTGTCTGGGTTTGGTTTCGGTTTTTCGGGTTTCGGCTTGAATTTCATCCTGTTCCCACTCGCCTGAGCCAAAGCGGCGGGTAAACGCTTTGCGGCTTTCCCTGCTCCCTGCTCCCGGCTCCCTCTTCCCTGCCCCCTCTCCATTGCTCCACGGCTCCCAGTCGCTTTTGTCACTGTCTGTGGCCTGTGCCTAACTTGCCAAATTAATAAATTGCCTGTAAAAACGCACAGCCCGAAGAAGATAGCAACGTGTATTCCTTGATTAGATTTGAATGAGTCGGGCAATGGGTGGCATTCGGTCGATGCCATTCATGTTAGATGATTGGATGCCGCTCCTGCTCCTGCTCCCGCTCCTGCTCCTGTTTCCGAGCCGATTCAGCTGCTGAAGCTACCTTCGATCGCCTGGCTCGGATGTGGGGCCGTTGATGGATGCGATTGCGATTCGCTCGCATTGAAAACTCGATTAATTACGCTAGCCGATGATTCGGGGAGTGGGGTGGGTGGTCTCTCTTCTGGGTTCGCTCTGCCTTTGGCTTTGACTTCTTATAATTTCGTTTGCATTATATTCCCTTTTTCGAACATAGTGTGCGGGTCCTGCTCTCTGTGTGTGTGTGTGTGCTTTTAAGTCAGCCTGTGTGTGTGTGCGTGTGTATTTAGTAAAATTTTGTTTGCCTGCCGCTGATTTCATTGGGCCGATGTTGCCTGCGGGGCATCTCTGTGAAGTTGGAAATCTGAAGTCTGAAGGGTTTTCCCCTTCCCCTTCCCATTTCCCTTTTTCTTGCCTGCAAAGCAAACACACACACACTAGAACCGACAGGCAAGGATAGACTGTTAGAGCGAGAGGCGGCCCAACAAAGTTTGGCAAGGCTCGAAGCATTTAAAAGACATTTCAGCCATGCTCCTCGGACCCAGTCCCCTCCGAACACATGCAGAATTCGGAAATTTGGAAATTTAGAAATTTAGAAGGGCGGAACATAGGCGTCAGGCATTTGTTGTCCACGTTTAAAGTAATTTTTCACATCATTGGAGGCCGCTTAAGTCGCCTCACCGGCAGCAGGACACGGGACAGCCCACACAGGACGTGCGTCAATTAGGTCGCACTCTCTGCCTCTGAGTTAGGACTTCCCACCTCCGACCACCGCGCTCAACACCCACTTATTTGCATAAATTCCCACGCTGCATACTTCGGGGCGCCACAAACCCACATCCCCATCGAGTGCAGAGCAAACAGGGGCAGAAGGCAAACAGAAACAGAAACAGAAACAGCAACAGCAACAGAAATGGCCACGGCAATGGAAGCCAGCGGCAGATGGCAGATGGCGGATGACCAACTGCATCCGAGGCTCGTTAGATAAACACGCGACCCAAATCCGCAATGAGATCACGCCCAGCCACGCCCAGGCCAACTACTCCCCCGCAGGCAAAAATAAAACAAACCCAAACGAAACCAATTCGGAACTTAATGACATTTCATTTCCCTAGTCAAGCCTGGAATTGGATTGGTATTGTGTCGCAAATTCCCATCCCATTCCTCCCTCGATCAGAGTATTTTTGCGGTCGAGTGTCTCCTTTGATTGGCGGAGATTTCTCATTTCCCTGCCTGATTTCCAAGCTTCTTTTAAAATTGGTTTTTAAAGTTCTGTAAACCTATTTCGTCACACCTATCCGCTTTGCTTTATACTTATCATTAAATACGTTTCTTTAATTTAAGAATACACATTGAAATTTTAGAACAAACGCCAAAATTAAATCAGAACTTCTATGAATTTTTGACTTTTGCAAAGAAAAAAACGTTTTTAAACTAGTTTTAAAGCACCAAAACTACAGTGTTTTGCGGGACAGCATGGCATTTATCAAAGAAATTACAAAAAAATGTATATTTTTCTTACAATTTTGATCTTTTAAAATTAAGTTTCATAAAATACCTTGACTTGGCATTTAGAGACATACCCTCAATCTTAAAATATCTTAATTTTAATGTCAAATCGAAAGTACGCATTTGAAAATCCTTTCAAGTTTAAACATTTGCCTTTTTTGGGAGCTAGCAGTTAAATGGTTCTTTACTTTAAATATATATTTTTTTAGTCGGCACTATCTCTTTGAAACATGAAAAGCGCCTCAATGCATAGCTGAAATTCTACATTACTATAAAAAGCAGATTGGTTCACAAGGGGTTATCCACCCTGCCTCGTGTCACCTGCCAGAACTGTTCTCTTCGCCATAAATTAGAAGAAGCACCTCGCCAACAATTACTACTCACGTCATTCGATTTGACATTCGATTTGATGGCATCTGTCGCTGACAACAATCAGCAGCACAAATAACCACTGTTCCACTGAGGCATCATCATCATCATCAGCAACAACAACAACTACAGCAACTCGCGCGACACGCATTCGTACTGGCACGTGGGCGTATACGCGATATTAACATTCGCTATTGAATAGGCAGGCGCAGCTATTAATTGGTTCAGCAGAGCTCCGACAAGAAGAGGCTGCCCTCCGACGCTTGCGTTAAGTGGAGCATAAAATGTGCAGATCGAACAGCAATAACATCGGTAGCAACAACACCGACAGCAACTACACCAACGGCAGCTACTGAAATCACATTGAAAAAGCAAGGCAAGTGAAGTGTGTTTGCCGGGAGGCGGGTGGGCGGAACAGTGACAACATAATTTACGTGTAGTTTACACTTGTTCAACACCCACGTCCCTCGCCTCCCCCATATTCCCTTGGCCCGCGACATAGACGTGGAGTGGGGGGTTAATCCGCATAGACTTGGCACAGAAATGACAGACTTCAATCCCTCCGATGCACCTACCACCCCCCTCCCCCGCCCGGCCTTTGTATTCAAATTATGTACGTGCCGAAGGCGAGTGCACAAATAGCGAAAATAGTTGGCTGCCATCAGCATTTCAGTCCGTTTAATCACCCGTGCCACTGCGGGGGCGGAAGGACGTTCAGGTGGGTGCATGGGATGCACGTCCCTTCCACACTCCACCTTCCACACTCCCCACTCCCCACTCCACATCCGACAACCCACAGCCCGAAGTAGCAGGCTGGCAGTGGCACGCTGCTCTGTCGCCATGCAACTTGTGACTTGTTCATGACAGCCACATTGACGGCACTGCACAAAGCAGGAGGAGCTCAAAGATAGCGGCAAGAAAGAGAGCAGTCCGATGTCCTGTCAGCTTGCGTTTGGACAGTCAGTCGAGCAGGAAAGTCTCACCTGAGTGCTGTACTGCAAAGGCAAGGGGAAAGGGGACAGGGGAAAGGGGAAAGCGGACTGGAGCGGGGGCGGGGGAATTGACTAACTGGCCTCAAAAGCACGCACACGCCAGCAGTCCATCGCCCACTGGCATCGGCATCCCCCGTCTGGCTTTCCGACGCCTCGTTTTTCTTTCTGCTGCTCTTTGGACGGCTCTTCTTTGCTGCTCTGATTTTTCATTCTACGACCAAGGGCGAAGCTTCAGGGACCTGCTGCTAATGTCCCCCAGCAGCTGCGGAGGTTATCCCATCATCGCCGTTATCCCAATCCCAATCGCACAGCAGGGGCCTCATTAGATTTGATTCGATTTCGTTGAAAACATACATCCTTCCGCTCCGAGCAGCTTCCTGCTAACTCTGCGATTCCGCCCATTCACTCTGCCACTTCCACTTCCACTCCGACTATGTGTGTAGCGGCGGAGCTGCGTCATCCACCACGCCCACACACGCCCAATTAGGCCGCAGCCAAAACAAGATTTGCTGCGATTCGGTTAGTTGTCGTTTATTCCAAGCACGCCATGACATCAGCTTGAAGACTGAGACTGGGACTGGTCCACCTGCGCCGTTCAGACAGCCTTGACTTTGGCCTTCTCCAGCTGCTGCGATTTCACTGCAATGGGATGGATAGCTTAAGTGGGGGGTTGAGTGTGAGGCGGGGCGGTGCGAGGAACCCACCGGTAATCAGAGCGTCTGCATCGGTGGGAGCGGGGGCCTGGGAATCGGACAGACCAAGCACAGTGGGCACCTCGTCGTCCTCGTCGGCTTGCCGGTCCTTGTCGGCCCGCTGCAGGACCTGTTTGCGCAGCTTGCGGAGGTAGGCCGCCTTGTACTCCTCGCTGGGCTTTCCACCTGCTCCGTAGCTCACCTCCAGCACAGTCAGCGGAATCACGGTGGAGGAGACGGGCACAAGATCTGGCAAAAGAGTGATAATGATTTCTGACATGGCTCATCCCGCGGAGCACCCACCTGCCTCGTATTTCTCTTCAGGATTCAGTTTGTAGAGCATCGAGTGGGAGAAACCTGTGGCACAGGCCAGCAGCAGCAAAGGCGTCAGAATAACCATGGTGATTGTCCGCACTGTCTAAAGGCCACGCACTAACTGAGAGCAACTGAGGGGCAGCAAGATCATTAGTTTAACTGGCCCTCGGCGAAGCCCCATTCGAGTTTGAATTTGAATTTGAAAGACTCACGATTGGCGGCCAAGTCATCGATGATTGCAGCACTCAGCTCTTGTCATGCGACGAAAACTATCGATGAGCACTGGTATCGAGCAGCGTGACCGTGCTCTCTTTATTTTAGAATCCAGAAGTTCGCGGTCATTTTAGTATTAATGTTAGTACGGCCTATCGGCTTACCTATCGCTCTGTCCATCTTCGATAGACCTGTTCGAATTACACCTTCCTTAAATCGATTTCTCATAAGACTTGTTATCGCAATCAACCCTTGTTTTCATTAGTAAATTTAAATTTTTTTAGTCCATAAACCAAATTAACTAACATAAAAGCCGAAGAGCAGCGAAAAGGCCAAAGGCTGAGTGACCAGAGCGGTAAGGCAAGGCAAGGCAGCGCATAACGCGATCCGAGCAGCGCAGCGCAGCGGCAGCGGCGGCGACAGAGCCAGACAACGAGGCGCATCGCATCGCAACGCAACGCAACAAAGACGACGCAAGCGAGAGGAAAAGCATGAGCTGAGGCTGAGACCCATCGCAAGCGAAACCGAGGCCAGAGGGGAAACGCGTGGACATCAAGGGCAGCCAGTTAGCCAGTTAGCGAGTTAGCCAGCTAGCGAAACGGACTGAGCTCACGCCACCACTCCAGGACGGACCCACGCCTCACTCAACCAGGACGGCGTCGCCTCCGCAGGAGGAGCAGAACAGCGGAGCCAGCAGGCAACTTCCCAGCGGAGCTCCGGCAGCAACATGAGCACGGTGTTCATAAACTCGCGCAAGAGCCCCAACGTGCTGAAGAAGCAGGGCACCGACCAGTGGGTCAAGCTGAACGTGGGCGGCACCTACTTCCTCACCACCAAGACGACGCTCTCCCGTGACCCAAATTCCTTCCTCTCCCGCTTGATTCAGGAGGACTGCGACTTGATTTCGGATCGGGTGAGTTTTGCGTTTGCGTCCCCTGCATTTATGGCCCTATTTATAGCCGCAGGCCCCACGTAATTACAGTAATAAGCCCGACACCGAAAAGTGTACACATGACCCAATCCAATGCAGGTCATGCAGCGGAAGCGGCTCTCCGGGGTGGCGGGGATCTGGGCCAGGGGCCCAGGGACAGGAACAAAGAGCGCAGAGCCCAGAGCGCGCGAGAGAGCGTCCTACTTTAAGTGCAGCTGCAGCAGAGTGTTCTAGTTAGCTGGGGCAGGCCCTGATTTCGCTGCTGGGCCGAGTCCTTGGGACGACGAGCGGGTGGTGGGTGGGTGGTGCCCCTCGAACAGCAGACGAAATAATCATCATGACAATAATCACAACATTAACACGGCCAATCGACAAACAAACATTTCGCTGGCTCCGCAACCATAAATTCGCTGCAAACAAGCAGCAAGACAACGAGAAATTCCAGAGACACATATACACTCTGCCCGTTCCGCTTTGTGTAAACAACACAAACAGCAGCCATCGGTCCTCCTCCGCTCCGCCCCGCCGCCCCCGGTCGGTGTCTGTATAGTTTTTAATAAAAAGTGTTTTGCTCTGTGTGCTTGAGCGGCAGTCGGCAGTCTTGTTACTGCGCTGCACGCGCCTTTCGCTATTGATTAAATTCCGTGCTCACCACCCCCAAACGCCCGCCAATTAAGGCAGCCACCCCCACCCCCACCCCAGCCATTGCCTAGCCTAATCGGGTGCTTAAATTGCTTGGAGTCCAAAAAAGCAGCCCTTCGCACGTGAGCAGCAACCAAAGCCGCCATCTAGCAGCAGCAGTTCGCCAACTGCAATTCACCTGCTGCCAGGGCAAAGAGATGCCCGTGGGGTGTCGATGTAGGTAGAGCCCGGAACTGCCAGTGACTGCGCATCACTTTGGAGTGACACTTTTCTAATAGCCTAATATATCACATTCTCAGTGACTAATTCGATGACTCGTTTGCTTGCAGGACGAGACAGGCGCCTACCTGATCGACAGGGACCCCAAATACTTTGCGCCCGTGCTCAACTATCTGCGTCACGGCAAGCTGGTGCTCGATGGCGTGTCCGAGGAAGGCGTGTTGGAGGAGGCTGAGTTCTACAACGTGACGCAGCTGATAGCTCTACTGAAGGAGTGCATCCTGCACAGGGATCAGGTGAGAGCCCGCCACTCAGCATTGTAGTTTCCCACTAATCCCAGGACTTTTTCAGCGACCGCATGCGGACAAGAAGCGCGTGTACCGCGTGCTGCAGTGCCGGGAGCAGGAACTGACCCAGGTGAGTCCTACAACGGCAGCCAGCCTTGAGCAAAAACTTGAGCATTACTCCTTCCTCCGCAGATGATCTCAACTCTGTCGGACGGCTGGCGGTTTGAGCAGCTGATCAGCATGCAGTTCAGTCACTACGGGCCCTTCGAAAACAATGAGTTCCTGTGCGTGGTCTCCAAGGAGTGCGGCACGACGGCCGGGCGGGAGCTGGAGCTCAACGACCGGGCCAAGGTCTTGCAGCAGAAGGGATCGCGAATGTAAGCCAATCCACAGATCAGCGACCACGTGCCCACTCGTTCTTTTTCGCTGCTGGTCGCCGTGTTGGGTGTGCTGTTATCACCTATCACCTGGCGCGGTCTTGTGACCACTTAACGACGGAGCCGAGCGTTTGACAGCAAATCAATGGCGTGCATATATGTAGTTTATGTAAAAGCGATCGATCCGCTGCGCTTTGTTAGCAACGCACAATATTTTAGTGGTAGACTATATTTGTACATACGAGTTTCGTAGAACCTAGGACTATAATGCAAATCCTTCCTTCTCAGCGACTGACGCTATCTCTGTCTGACTGACGCTCTCTCTTTTTCTCTCTCTGTTTAATTGCAGTCTTGGAATTTAAAGGCGTTGTATATTTACACGCAATACCCTAATAACAAAACCCGAACTCCCCGTCATCAACAATCAGCAATCAACAAACATCTAACAACTTATTCCCAATCGGCAACATAATTAGCCACACCGACCCAACACCAATTGAATGCAGCCAAGGAAGCCGCCCCTGCACAGTAGATCAGTCAGAAACCGCCACCACCACCACCACCACAGCCACACAACACACTGGAGTCACCCCACGAAATCAGATCAGCCACAGATCACCCACCAAGATCAGCCGGAATCACCCAAGCAGAGCCCGCAGGGAGACCACGCATCATTTGCATTCGATACAAAGTTAACAGGTACCACTGCGATTCTCGCCTCGTGGCCGTTGTGCGCTTGGCTCATTGCAGCACTGTGGGGCAGTGCGGCACAGCAGCGCACTGTGCGGAGTGTGTGCGGTCGTGCATGTGTTCAACTTATAGTAGACGAGATAGACCAGACTAAGCGAGAACCAGCTCTGCTCTGATGCGCCCCATGGCCAGGCGGCTGTTTCAGCACAGCCTCAGCCTCAGCTTCGAGATTCAGCTTCGCTTAGAGAGGCACTAGAGGCATTAGCCAGCCGGACAGCTCGGGCACTCAAACAGCTAGAGATATACACATTAGTGGGAGTTTGTAGGGTTAGTCTTAGTAGTTTTTATCGTGCTTACAATAACAAACCTGATGACGCAGCGGACACTTCGCTGGAGCAGTCGCGATTCCCTTGCTTAAGCAACAGACTTACAGTACCATACACTAGGTTCGAGCTGCATTTACGTGTCCGATACCCGATACCCAAGTGGGAGTCGCACAGGGCCTGTGCATCCGCATACCCGGATTTTGTAAAGCCGCAAAGCTGCCCCTTTGTACGGTTGTACGGTTGTACGATACGAGCGTGTGTGTTCCGTTTTGTGTAGACCCGGTTTTACTACCTTGAGCTTTTTTTAAGTAAAACAAGCAAAGCAAAGATATCAACTTTAGGAAATCAATTGAATCACGACTGAATTTATGTGAATTTGCACTCAAGAGAAATACATAAAAATCGATAGTGAGGAGCCATGTGAAATTAAAAATATTAAACAAAAAACCTATTTGGCGATGTTTTGTACAGACAGGAATGATATCTAAATACGATAAGTACGTGAATGTATATAATTTTAAATAGTAACTAATTTATACACGAAAAAGAAAACAAACAAATTGATAATGATCCAGAACGTCGCCACCTACTCGTACCCATTTTGACTTATTTTACGTACACGGCAGGTGAAGTGCAGATTATATAGAGTATAACTTATGCTTACGAGGATTATTTCGGCGGAGAACCTTTACACTAGCAAGTAGAACCGCAGCGCCGGAGTACGCCGGACGCAGTGTCCGGCACTTAGCAATACAGAAAAAACTGCAAGTAATATACAGACACGGCAACAAATATGCTAAAGATAATACGATAACCTAATCCCATACTGTATTACCATAAGGATGTACTCACCCCCACTACACACCTCGAACCCGCTCTGTACCCTACAGGCGCAGAGGATCAGTCCCGCCAGGTCGCAGCTGCAGCTGGTGGACCGGATGTCCTTCTACCCGACCAGGCCCTCTGGACAATCCCTCACACACAATATGAATATATATTAATAAACTTGGAACCCTTTTCTAAAAAACATTTCCAAGCTGTTTGAGTTTAGTTAATTCCTTTGAACTTTAAATCCTTTCTGTTGCCCAGTTTGGATGCGAAAAATTCGGTTTTCCAGCCGCCAAGGTGGAGCAGATGCCCCTGTTGGCCTACAGCTTGCAGCTGCTCCAGAAGCTAGTGGCCAGGCAGTCGTCACCTGCTCCTTCGACCTGCTGGAAATGGCTTTGTCTACGAGTTTGTTGGCAATGTCAAGAAGCTGGCCAAGAGTGGAGATGCTCCAGAAGAACCTTCAATCGGAGTCGAGCGCAGTCGATGGCTTCCAGGAACTGTGCGACGCGGGAGCAAAGGCGGAACTTGAGGAGGAGGAGGGGGAGCAGCTGGCGCAACAAAAGGTTGAGAATTCCACCCTCACAGTGCCGCCATCCATTCCGCGCAACTCCTGACTGCTAAGGCAGATCCTCCGGTACTTGGAGGGCATGGGCACTCCGTCCATTCTACGCGTGGAGTGCTTCCAGGTGCTTTGACTGCGAAAAATTTTTAAATCGCACAGCAAAATGGATGATTTCTCAACCCAAACACCAGGCTAACAGAAATCAGCAGTAGGTTCCAACGTTTGGTTTTTTCGTTTATTCTAGAGATGTACGCGTGCCTATTTATTTCGGAGCGCCAACAACAAACACAAGGGGCTTTCGTGTTATATCGTGCTTTTCGTGCCAAACTCGTGAGTCGCACAGAGAAACAACGTGTTTGCCCATCTCTAGACTGCGCTTGTCTTATAACCAACGGTTTTATTCCAGAGATTTTTAATGATGGCCGATTTGTATGGCAGCCATCATGAAAAAAACAGCTGATCGCACAACATTTGCTTAGGGCACTGGCTACTTGCTGTTAATTTCTGTTCGCTTAGTACATCAAAATGGGAAGTTGCCCAGTTTGCATGGGAAAAATTTGGTTTGGCCGGTCCATATCGACGGGCAAATTTCGATTTATCGGTTTGCAACACTAGGCGAACATAAAACAGCAGTAGGTTCCAACGTTTGATTTTTTCGCTTATCTTAGAGATGTACGCGTGCCTATTTATTTCGGAGCTCCAACAACAAACACAAGGGGCTTTCGTGTTTTTTCGTGCTTTTCGTGCCAAACTCGTGAGTCGCACAGAGAAACAACGTGTTTGCCCATCTCTAGGCTGCGCTTAGCTTAGAACCAACGGTTTTATTCCAGAGATTTTTAATGATGGCCGATTTGTATGGCAGCCATCATGGAAAAAACAGCTGATCGCACAACATTTGCTTAGGGCGCTGGCTACTTGCTGGTCATTTCTGTTCGCTTAGTACTTCAAAATGAGAAGTTGCCCAGTTGGCATGGGAAAAATTTGGTTTTGGCCGGTCCTTTTTTTTTAGTTTTTTAACCAAAACCCTTGGAAATAATGGTCAGATATTAGAATGTCATACCTTGTTGAATTCGTTACAAAATTTCCAATCGATTGGTATACTCAGCTCAAAAAGTTTATTTTTGGCCAAATTTGGAAAAAAATCAAGTGTTACCCCTTATAAAAAATGCGAAAATCGGTCAAAAAATGAAATTTACCAAATCCTCCTGGAATCGATTGTGTATGTTGTCAGCTACACAAAACAGTCATTCTTTTGGCTGTGGGTCTTATTTTGGCAAAGTTACAACAAAAAACCCTTAAAAATGTGTTTTTTAAATATACTTGACCAGTTTGCATGACATGGCTGCGGAATTTCAGTCCGGCAGCGCCCAAATGCACGCAACAAAAAATTGAAATTAAAATTCCCAAATTTTTCAAAACTTAATTGTAGATAAGATATATATTTTACAATATATTATTTTTATTGAGAAAAAATTGTTATGTGACCCGTGCTTGGTGTCAGTGCTGCCGCTCACGCTCCTTGGTGGCTATTCTCCGTTCGATCCGGTGCCCATTGTGGACTCACTCATGTGAAACTGGATTAGGATAATCAAGTATGTGGTGGTGGCACCCACGATCTGCAAAGCATTGATTTTTAGCATCGTGTTTTTTGGACATTATTTGGATTTGCCACTCACTGTGTAAAGAAGCGTGCAGTCGACGTTGAAAAAGCCAGCGGCGCTAAAGTGGAGCCGCTGGTGGAGCAGCTGCAGCGAAAACTGGGTGATCTGGGGAGAACGGGGAGAAGCAATGGACAAATGTTCTGGGGCAGAGAAAATACCTACCAGGGCGTTGTGGCACTCATTCCCCAGATCCACGCTCACCTGATGAAGACACAGGGCCAGGCGAGTGGCCTGGGAAACAGACGCGGAGAGTTAGGATAAAGGGGTGTCCCCGGACCCGATCTTTTCTACTCACACACTGGGCCGTTCGGTCGCAGAGCAGCGAAAGGACGAGCACGTTGCTCAGATGGGGTGCAGACCATACAGCGCTGGCCACGATCTGCAGGATGTCGTAGGGCGAGGCCGCCGACTGGCGGAAGTTCAGGAACATCCAGTAGCAGTTGGAGGTGATGGCCAGGAAGTCGTTGCCCACCTGCATCAGCATGGAGGTCCCGTAGCACTGGTTCAGCAAGGACACCAGGGCCCACACCCGTTGGTAAATGAGCCTCACGGCAATCAGTCGTTCAATGGCCGCGTGCTCGAGGTCGGCCTGCTCCTCGGTCACAGCATCCTGGCCGGGGTTCTTCTGCTGCAGCTGCAGCTGCTGCAGGGCCACAACGATCTCGTCCAGGCGCTGGCGCACGATCTGGACGGCGGTGAAGATCTGAAAGTAGCGTAGACCGCACACAAGCAACGGCAGAAGGTAGCAGATCCAGTAGACGGGGAAGCGGTGGCCAGGGGCGAGCAGCTTGGCGCCCAGGATGAGGCTCTGGCTGGTCGCATAGCCCCACAGGATCCACACAGCCCGACGTGTCGTCTGCCGGCGCATCAGGAGGCGACCGCCCTCCACATCCACCCTCAGGGCCTTGGCCAGCTGCCCATCGATCTCGCCCAGCTCCGCGAAGAATTGGCGCTGCGCCTGCCGCTGCCACAACGCCTCCAGCAGGGCAGCCAGGTGTGCCACCCGCATGCCCACCAGCTGGATAAAGTCCACGGTGTGACCAATGCTCGAGATGGTAGACTCGGCACCCTCCTCCTTCTGGACGCTGCTCTCCTGGAAGAGGTCATAGGCGGTAAAGCCACTGGCCGCCGTCAGCACTGTCCATGCGTAGAATTCCAGCCAGCGCGATCGGCGGAGCAGGATGCCCTCCGTATCTGGCGGGGTGGCGAGGCGCCATTGCCACAGGTTGCACACTTGGCAGACGCGGTGCACCGGCTCCAGAGCTACCAGCGTGTCCATACCGAGTTCTACCGGCTATCTGCCGCGTAGCTTGGTATCGGTATCTGGGAAGGGCTAGATACCAATTAGATTAGCTAATCGATTCCCTGTTGGATGGATAATTTTCTGTTTCGGCAATCTAGTGCTCCATGCGACCCGAATGTCAATGGGGTCGAGTTTCGGCTTCGACAACACACAGACGATAAGGAAAATTCAAGGTGAAAACAAGGCAAACGAAAACATGGCAAATAAAACTGGTGCGAACATAGATGAAAATAATAGAGAAATATACATTAAGGACAAGGATTTCTACTTAACCATATACACTGACCTACAAAATTAGAGCTGCAAACACGTCGGTCCTGTGGCTTTAGCTTGAGTAAGTGCAACTATAAAAATCCCCTTAAAAAGTAAAAACTTATGCCGCGCACATAGGGGACATCGCTCGTTAGCGAAATGAATCCAAGAAAACCAACTCGACCATCAGAAGCCACCTACTTTCGACGACTGCTCGTGCACGGGTTCCTGGCCATGGGGATCGACTGCAGGAGTTGCTAAGTGGCCATCCATCATTACCAATTATCAATGTCAGGTCATCAATCATTCCAAGGTGGGTCACTTCAGAAATTAGCCGGGACAAACTGGATGCCTTTAGAGACGAAGGCAGAACCCCGTTGGAACCGAGACCGCGGGGAGAGTGAAAGGCACCCGAACTTCACATAAATACGTTTATTATAATTTCAGATTTTGTTTTGGAAATAGTTCTTGAGATAAGCTTGACGTTTCATAAAATGTAATACATATATATTTCTTCGCGCTAACCTTTGCCCTTTGTCGGATCTTTGTGCTGGCTCGCTCTATCCCTGTCTGCCTGACTCCTACCGACTCGTTGCTCCTGACCAATCCTTCCCTGGCTTAGCTGTAGCTATGGCTATGTCCGCCAGCCAGCGATACTTCGGCTCGGCTCTTGTTTGTAACAATTTTACTTTCTGCATGCACTTGCTGTACTAATGATTATATAGAGCACACACGGGCCCACACACACCACACACGCACTCAGGTGGGCGTGTGTGTGCGGGGGTGTGTGCATTTAGTGTATATTTGATTTAAATCGAAGCTGCTAAAAAGTAAAAGCAAATTTAACAAACAAACTCTTATAGGTCGTACATATCGTATTTGATTCTTACACTAATATAAGGTATGATGCAGATATCTGTTTGTTCTCTGGATATAAGGCAATGTATACATGTGTAATGTGTGGATAGTGTATAGTCTGATCTGATTGATCTGATTTCGACGAAACTTAAGTCGCAAACAAACGGGGGCAAAGTTAACAAGTTTTCATATTTCATATCTTAGGGGAAATTCGTTTCGTGAAAGGCAAAAAATGTCTTCTGGCTGGGAGAAGAGTTCTTTTTTTTTGGGGGTTTTGTTTTAAGCAACATCAATACGCTTAAGTATATATATATATATATATATAAAGTGTATATAGTTCATGTGTGAGTATTCATTATCTTTACCTACTTCGGTTTGGTTTATGTTTTGCTTCGCTTAGCGCACGAATTTGGAAAAAAATTAATATTTAGTAAATTTCATCATTTGTTTTTTCTTGGTTATAAATTTAAAATCCTTGAAGCAGAGACTGCATATTACTCAATAATCGAAAGACGCTTGATCGGTATTCAAAAACCCAATCGCATGTGCTGATCGGACGGGGAACGAGTATGGGGTTTGCGACCATAAGGTCCCGAAACCCTCATCCTCGCATGCCGTACCCCTGCCCCTCTTAGCCCTACGTGTGTATAATTTTGCTTAAATTTTGCTGGTTGCTTATCAAACGGTTGTAGACTGGACGGTTGCCAGTTGACTGTTTACTGTTGCTGCCTGCCTGTGGCATGTTGCAAGTTGCCTGCTGCAACTCCTCCCGGATCTGTTGCTGTTGTATATATAAAAAGCAACTCAAAAATATACGCGTAGCCTAAAAAGTCTGTCTCGAGTAGCGTCTCGACCACTCGAGTCTATAATTAATAATTGTAACTGGCTCTTTTGGACTGTTTTTGCTGTGGCCTCGAATTGCTTGTTCCGTTTTCTGTTTTCTGTTTTCTGGTTACTGGTTACATTGATTAAAATTGCCTGTGTGCCTGGTTTACGTCTCGCCCTGCTCTTGCTGCATATTTATCTTGTATCTTGTTTGTTTGTTGCAAATTTGTTATTCTATGACTATGAAAAAGTAAAAAAAATATAGAAAAATAACCTTCATTCACTTTGTGTACTTCATATTTAATCGTATTTAGTTATGACTCTCTGCTCATCCTCGTATTTGTCTCACAATAGCTGTTTCAGTGTCTCACATTTCACCCCAACCCCAACCCACCCAACCAAACCTAAGCTTCTACTTCTACCCTGTTACCATCCTAACCCACTCAGCCCTTGGCTTCCTTATATAGTAACCTCAACATACCTTTCCTCGTTTCCTTTTTCTTGCTTTCGTCGTCTGTCCAACACCTTATCATTCATCGAAACTCCTGCACAGCGTTGAGTCCTTCGCTCTCTATCCTTACACGTGTTCTCAAGGCTCTCGATTTCCCAGCTAAACACCTCGCCATCCCAGTTTTCGGTTTCAGTTCCCTTCTCTGCTCCTTTAAGCTCCCCTATGTGGAAGTGGAAGTGTACGTATATCGGTTGCTATAGCTGCTCGGGTTATAAGTCTTTCTGCGGCTGCCTGCTGAAACAACGAAACCAAACACAATGAAATAAATCGAAACGGTGGGGATGGACTACAAAAACGATTGCAAATGGCATTATCTCGGGGGAGGGACATTATCAGTGTTATCTAATCCCCGACTCACGGATTTTGCTTGGGTGAGAAGTTTAAATGTTATTCGAAATTTCAATGGCCTGCTAGCCTTCAACGTTTGATTAAGTTTAGTCCGAAGGGCGGGCCGTGGATCCGCCTCCGATCATTGTTTTGTGTTATGATCCTATGATCCTACGACTACATAGCGCTCTGACTTTGCTGGTTATACACTTGCAGTTAGTTAATGCTCGCTTTAAAATTCGAATACCTCTGGTATGGGAGGGTACGTTAAAGTTTCGACTAATACATTAAACATGAATATTAATTTCTTTAAATATATAGTGTGTCTTTTTTCTTCATCTTTGTTGCTTTGTATTCGTCTTTTTGGTTTTTCCTTTGTATATTTTAGCTATGCGGTTTTGAAAACTATTTTGATCTTTGGATTACTAGGCAATGCAGCTTGACGTTATTCAATGAAAGCAACAAAAATGTGTGTTCTTCTCGACTAATCCACTGAGGATCTGCTCCTCCGGTTGCATTGCATTGTTTGGTAATTAATCTTTTGAAACTAAATATCAATTAATTACGTAGCTTTTGTTTGGCAGAAATAAGTCGGCGAAAGCTTAATAGACGGCATTTGCAAACAAAATGGCGTCATTCGCGTGACCCGTACTCCGCCATATCAGCCTGCGTCCGCCTCATTTCCGTTTCCTGCGGCTCCCGCGCACGAAACTTGCCATATTGCATTGTCTTCGTCGTTGTCCTAATTTTGTTGCTGTTGCTGTTGTCGTCATCCTCATCCTTATCCTCGTCCCAGTCCCTTGTCCTGGTGCCCGTGCTGCCAGAGTCCGATTCCAAGCACTTTGTAAGCCCTACATGGAGTCGATCCTCTGGCATTGCTCTTCTCGTCTGCTTCTTTGGTTGGGTGCGTTATGGGTTGGCTTAGTCGTCGTCGAATGCAATAAACAAGCCCGTGGCCTAGAACTCCAAACGGTAGGCAGAGCACGAGGTCTCGTGGTCCTGCAGGTTAATGGTGCATCGGGAGGCGGATGGCGAAAGGTCGATGCGGTGCTTGGCTAGCAGCTCCTCGTTTTCAGCCACCCAGTAGCCCAGCACATCGGTGTCGTACGTGGGTATGATGGTGACCTCTGCAAGCCAGGAAATCGGAAAATGGAATTATCTGCCAGGCGCAACATTGCAACATCTACTCACCCAACTCCTTGTCCTCCCATGTCTGCTTGGCCTCCAGCAGTGCATCGTACACCTGGCGACTGGGCTCCGTGCCGGAGAAGACGTAGTAGCGAGCCCGCACCCGCTTGAAGAAGTCCACGTGGGCGTAGTAAGAGTTGCCGTTGTGCGGCACGTATGTGAGGTCCACGTATACGGGCGCCGGCTTCTTGCCCACCTTGTTGGGCGATTCACTGCGCTTGCGCAGATTTTTCTCGTTGTTTAGTCGCGTCTTGGTGGCCACCAGCCGGCGTTCCTTCTTGGGCGTGGTGCGGATGTCAGCCCCGCCCTCCACGGGCAGTGGTGCAGGTGATGGCAGGCCCAAGGGCTTGCCCCACTCCTCCAGGCGGTCTTTCGGCAGGGCTCCAGTGGAACTTGTTGTAGTTGTGGTTGTTGTTGTGGCGCTTGCTGATGATACAGTTGTGGTAGTGGCTTCCTTCGACATATCCTGTTGCTGCTGGGCGGCGGCACTACCCACGGTGGCGAATCCGCTTTCTGCTACACGAGAGCGCTGGACATCGCTCAGTGGGAAGCGCTGCCGTTCCGCAGTGCTGCTCACGATCTGCTCCATCTCCTCTGCCTTTGAGGGCGAGTACGAGTACTTCGCTGTGACGGAAGACATGACCTCGGCGCCACGCGCCTGCACGTGCTCCTCGAGCGCCCGCTGGAAGTCTTTGTCCGCCTGATCGAGGAACTTGTGTCCGGCCCAGGTCTGGCTAGTGCTCTCCACGCTCTCCGACGACTGGCTATCGCCGGACGGAGCGCCTTGGATGGGAATTGGCTCGGTGCTAGGCTTCATCGCGGTGTCGAAGCTGTCGGGCAGAGCACCGTAGAAGGAGGTGGCCATGGGGTCGATCGTGCGAGGCAGTAGGATCGAGCGCGCCGTCGAGTGCTCCTCGCTGCCGTACTGCGGCGGAATGTCGTCCTGGCTTTCGTCTCCTTCGGCGTCCAGGTCGGAGCGCTTGCTGACTCCGGAGCTGGAGTGCTGCAGCTCGTAGCTTGTGGCGCTGCGGGGTGATCCCAGCAGCAGGTCTTCGTCGTCCTCACTGCCCGGGGTGCTGGCGCGGTACAGGCCGCGCAGCAGGGCCACCTCCTTGGGCAGCAGTTGGTCGCGTTCACTCTCGCTTGTAGTGCGCGTGGTGGTGACCACCACCTTCTCGCTGTCCGGCTCCGAGCTGTCCGTGGTGGTAACCGTCTTCTGCTCGGTCACTATTTCCTTGCCGTCCGCCGAGATCACTTTGGTCACCGTGGTGATGGTGGTGGTGATTATCTTGTCTGTGCTGCCGCTCAGAGCCGTAGTGCTCTCTAGTCCACGCAGCTCGTGCAGCTCGGGGAGATCTACCTCGCACTCAGCTCCGGCTGCAACTGCTCCTTCTAGCATCTGCTCCTGTTCGTGGTGCTATATGGGATGAAAAAAGGAAATTCACTTAATCACCGACCAATAAATATAATCATCAAATTGTTAAACCCTTGCAAAGAGTATTAGAATTTTGGTCAGAAGTTTGTAACTCAGTGAAGGCACAAAAATGATGAAAAATCTACCCAAATATACAAATCAAGTTGAGTATACAGATTTTTAGAGAATTAAACCACAATCATTTAGAAGTAAGCCACTTTGAAATCGGATGTCTGTAGGAAAAGTTATGGGCTTAGAAGTGCAGGTTTTAGGTTACATTTCGGCAAAGCCATTTTTCGAAAATTTGGAAAGGGGTAACACTATAAAAATGATGAAAAATCGACCCAAAAATACAAACCAAGTTGAGTATACAGATTTTTAGAGAATTAAACCACAATCATTTAGAAGTAAGCCACTTCGAAATCGGATGTCTGTAGGAAGAGTTATGGGCTTAGAAGTGCAGGTTTTAGGTATCTTTTCTACAAAGCCATTTATCGAAAATTTGGAAATGGGTTTTATTATAAAAATGATGAAAAATCGACCCAAAAATAAAAAACAAAGTTGAGTATACAGATTTTTAGAGAATTAAACCACAATCATTTAGAAGTAAGCCACTTTGAAATCGGATGTCTGTAGGAAAAGTTATGGGCTTAGAAGTGCAGGTTTTAGGTTACTTTTCTACAAAGCCATTTTTTGAAAATATGGAAAGGGGTAACACTATAAAAATGATGAAAAATCGACCCAAAAATACAAAACAAGTTGAGTATACAGATTTTTAGAGAATTAAACCACAATCATTTAGAAGTAAGCCACTTTGAAATCGGATGTCTGTAGGAAGAGTTATGGGCTTAGAAGTGCAGGTTTTAGGTATCTTTTCTACAAAGCCATTTATCGAAAATTTGGAAATGGGTTTTACTATAAAAATGATGAAAAATCGACCCAAAAATAAAAAACAAAGTTGAGTATACAGATTTTTAGAGAATTAAACCACAATCATTTAGAAGTAAGCCACTTTGAAATCGGATGTCTGTAGGAAGAGTTATGGGCTTAGAAGTGCAGGTTTTAGGTATCTTTTCTACAAAGCCATTTATCGAAAATTTGGAAATGGGTAATACTTTAAAAATCATGAAAAATCTACCCAAAAATAAAAAGTAAAGTTGAGTATACAGATTTTTAGAGAATTAAACCACAATCATTTAGAAGTAAGCCACTTTGAAATCGGATGTCTGTAGGAAAAGTTATGGGCTTAGAAGTGCTGGTTTTAGGTCCCTTTTGGGCAAAGCCATTTTTCGAAACTCTTTCCTAATTTTATTAAAATGTTCGCGCAGTGCACTCATATATCAATTTTCGCAAATACTGCCAAGGTATTAAGACTTCGGCTGCCCGAAGTTAGTTTCCGTGTTGGGTACTCACCTGAATTTCCAGAGACTTTAGCTCGTCCTTGGTGACGCGCGGAAAAGGCGACGTGGGCTTGGGCGATGACTCGGGTGTCTCCGTGTGGGACTCGCGACCCAGCGGAGTGGGAATGGACTGGCTCTCCGAGGTAAGAGCGCCGGGACTGGACTTGCCGCTGATGTCCTTGGGCGAGAGCGGGCCCGAAGAGGAGACGATGCTGGCTGCGCTGGATTCGCACTTTCCGCCAGCAGCTCCGACTGCAGTTCCAATTACAGAGCCAGCAGATCCCGTCGAGCTCAATGGCTTTACGCTGGGACTGACGGGCGCCGTTGGCGGAGTCTTGCGATCAGCGGGGTCACTCGCAAACCGGGCTTGATCCTGGCCACTCTGATCGATTTGTGTGAGCGTAATGGATTCCACCTTGGAGCTGCTGGTGGTGCTGCTGCTGCTCTGCTCACTGGACTGCAGAAGAGTTGTGGTCTTGCTGGTGCTGGTGGTGATGGAGGTGGTCTTTTGGCCCATATCCTCTATTTGATCGTGCTCCTCCTCGGCGAGCGTGGCAATTGACTCTATATCCTCGCTAGGCTTGTAGATGCTAGTCATCATGATGGTGGCAATGGACTTGGAGCGGCTCTCCTTCACACTGGCGCGCTCCTCGTCTTCCTCATCAGCCTCCTCATCCTCAGGATCACTGTGGGTCAGGCGGCCCTCGCTGCCCTGGCTCAGTAGAGACTCCCGTCGGGACTCGTCCGTCCCCACGAAAAGCGGCTTTTGGGAGGCGGTGGAGCTGGAAACACTGCTGGCGGTGGCTTTTTTCAGGCACTCGTCGGCTGTCTTGGTGGCCTCGGCGCTGAAGGTTTCCTTGGCGGAGACGATCTTCTCGGTGGCCAGAAATTCGGCCACCGTCTCCTTGAGGTTGTCGTCTTTGGTGAAACTGCTGGTGCTGAAGCTGCTGGTTTCCTTTCCTTCCTTAGACTCTTTGGTTTCCCTAAATGACTTCTGAGCGGTACTGGTCTGAATCTCGCTTACGATTGACTCTGATGAGCACTCTTCGGACTGCACCAGCAGCTCTTCCAGCTGAGATGCGGCGGTACTGGTGTCCTCCTTCAGACTGGTGCTCGTTGTGATGGCACCCTTCTCGGCCAGCAAACTGGAGAGTGACTCGCGTCGAGAGCTGTCCTCTACCTTAAGGCTGCTGCTCAGCGAGTCGCTCGTGGAATCCTCGCGTAGTTGGACTGACTGACTCGAGAGGACTGTGGACTTAGTGACTGAAGTGGACTCGGACTCCATACTCGACTTCTCTTCCACCTTTTTGCTCTCGACGGTCTCAGTGGTTAATGAGTGAAGAAGCGACTCTGTCGTCTCCTCAACGACATCCTTGGCACTGCACTGGCTGGTGATGGATGCTGGGCGGGATGTCTTGATGTCCTTCTCGTCATCCTGGCTGGCAACGGACTCCTTGCTTGGAATGGGAGATGACTGTTCCTTGGGCTTGGCTTCCTCCTCCTTCTGCTCGTGACTGGCTACTGACTCGGGGCGGGAGGACACAGACTCTGGCTGGCTGGCAGCCGACTCAGGGCGACTGACAGCAGCTGCTCCCTGCCGTAACTGTGCTTTTTCGGATTGTTCGATCTTGTCCTTTTCCTCGATGGAAATTGGGCCAGATTTTTGGTCGGGCGATGACTTCTCGGACTCGATTTCTACCTTCACGCAGATCTGCAGGGACTTCTCGCCCCCCTCACTCTTGTCGGACTCCTCCTCGGCGGTGGATTTAAGCTTTTCCTCCAACTGGCGTTCGTCAAAGTCAGGTATGATGTCGGTAATGGCCTTGTCAGACTTTAGTACCTTGGCCACGTCTGCTACAATTTTTGCCACTTCCTCCTCGCGCGGCGATAACGGTCGCATCGGCTGGGGTGGCACAATTCCTGTCTTGCCGCCATCGCTAGGTGGCGAAAAGCGGTGCTCCTCGTCCTCCTCCTTGATGTCGTGCAGCACGGATTCATCCCGCTCGCAGATCGTAACCGTAAACTCGGGCGAGCCCACGGTGGTGATGTGCGTTTCACGCAGCTCCGAAAAAGTACCCAGATCCAGACTGCTCTTATCCTGACCAAACTCCGCGGCCTCGGCAATTTCGGAGGCTTTTTCACTTACAGTCTCTGTCAACTGATGCACTTTCTTTTCGACTGTCTCCACGGCAGTGCAGAGTAAGCTGGTCACGCTGCTGACCTTGGTGTCCAGAACGGATTTGATCTCCTTCAGTTGCTCGCTGCTTTCCTTGCTCACCTGTTCCAGGGTACCTGTCACAGTACTTTCCACCTGCTTTACTGCACTCTCGGTCTTCGTCTCCACCTGTTTCACCGAGCTCTCAAGCTTCTCGACTTTCTCCTCGACTTTGGAGGAGAAGGATTCGAACAACGATGTTTCCGATTGCTTTGTCTCGGATTTAGTTTCCTTGATACCCAGCAGGTCTTCTTCTGCTACAAGGGTGATATGCTCTTTAACAACTTCGATGTCCTCCAGGATTGTAGGAGCCTCATCCACGGGACTTCCGGCTGTGTGCGCCGTATCCGCCTGGGCAAGCTCCGCTGGTTTGGAAGGTGTAGCTTGTTGTATGGAGTCAACTTGTACTTTCGAGAAGTCACCTTCAGCCACATCAACCGGACTGGAGAGAGTTGGAAGTATGCCTTTGGCTTCGGTTGTCATTTGGCTCAGGGGCAGACTTAAGTCAGCGATGTGGCGCAAACCTTCATCGATGGGAGAGGATGCGGTCTCGGCCACCGATGCAGGGCGGGATATTTCCTTTGAGCCAGCTGGCGACTTGTCGTCCACCGACTGCGGGCTCAAAGAAAGTGATGGCTTCTCGTCCTTGGAACTTGGTGCCATCACGCTTTCGGATACTGACTCGCGTCGTGATGCTGCCTGCGATTCCTTGGGTGAGGCAGCTGGCAAGTCACTATTTTTACTAGCCGCCCCTATACTTTCAGCCACGGACTCGCGGCGCGACGCTTCCTTTGATTTGTCATCAGCCACATCTGCTTCCTCTTTAAGGGATTGTGATATTGGTGCCTCATTTGACACAAGAGGAGATTTGTCATTACTGCTGCTTTCCGCCTTAACGCTTTCAGCCACCGACTCTCGCCGAGATGCTTCCTTCGACTTGTCAGCCTCATCGTGTACACTTTCCACAACAGATGCTGATCTGGACGTTTCTTTAGATGGAAGCGCTGATTTTTCATCCTTAATACTTTCTGCCTTAATGCTTTCTACCACCGACGCTGGCCTAGACGGTTCCTTGGACTTGTCAGCCTCATCTTTTACACTTCCTGCAACGGATGCTGGTCGGGATGCCAATGGAGATTTATCGCCTTTGGTGCTTTCTGCAACAGATTCGGGACGAGAGGCCTCCTTAGACTGGGCAGCTTCATCTTTAACGCTTTCTGCAACAGATTCGGGACGAGAGGGCTCCTTAGACTGGGCAGCTTCATCTTTAACGCTTTCCGCCACGGATTCACGACCGCTTTCTGGTTTTTCAGTCTCATCTTTGACACTTTCCGCCACAGATGCAGGTCGAGAAACTTCCTTCGACGCAAGGGGAGTTTTTCCGTGCTCAGCAATGTCTGGCTGTGTACTGTCAGCGACTGAGTCACGGCGGCTTGCGTTCTTGTCGCCTTCAGACTTGACGCTTTCTACAACGGACTCTGGTCGAGAAAGTTCAGTAGGGGGTAGTGGTGTGGTGCCGTCCCTTGCACTTTCGGATTTCACGCTAACTGCGAGAGATTCACGACGAATTCCTTCTTTTTCAGCTTCATCTTTAATGCTTTCTACGACGGATTCAGGTCGAGAAGCTTCTTTTGATGCTGGTGCTGACTTTTCATCCTTAACGCTCTCTGCGACAGACTCAGGCCTTGAGACTTCCTTGGAGGCCTGCGGAGACCTATCGTCCTTGACACTTTCTGCTTGTAGGCTCTCTGCAATCGATTCTCGTCGACTCTCCGTTTTTTCACCTTCGTCCTTGACACTTTCCACAGCAGAGACTGGCCGGGACACTTCCATGGAGGCAAGGGGAGATTTATCACCTTTTTCTGCATCATCTTTTGCACATTCCATGACGGATTCTGGCCTCGAAATTTCTTTCGATGCCAGTGGAGACTTATCATCCTTAGTGCTTTCTGCTTTGGCGCTTCCCGCTACAGATTCCCGGCGGGATGGCTCCTTTGATTCAGCCTTATCAGCAACGCTGTCTACGGCTTCTGGTTTGGACTCCCGTCGGCTATCTAGTTTCTCAGCACTTTCCACATCCTGAATGCTTTCTGCAACAGACACGCTTCCGGCAAGTGATTCACGTCGAGATGGCTCCTTGGACTTTTCGACAGCATTTGTAGTTTCTGCGATTGATTCACGACGTGACACCTCCTTTGAGCCAATTATTAAACCGGTTTTATCAGCGTCGTCCTGGGCACTTTCAGCAGGAGATTCTGGGCGTTCCTTAAGTGGAGATCCAATTAGGGACTTGGGAGCCTCATCTACAGGACTCGATGCTGTCTTCTCAATGTCGACTTTGGAGAGCTCAGCTGGTTGTGTTGGGCCTGAAGTTGGGGAGCTTGTGGGTGTGGCTGTCTGAGGGAAATCACCATGAGCCACATCCACAGGACTCGACAATGTTGGGAGTTTACCCTTAAGGTCAATATTCAATGGTAATATTCCTCTTTCTTGGAATTGTGCGAAGTCTTTAGGTTCGTCCTCGTCCTTAGGAGTTTCCGCAACTGATCCGGCCCTCGAAGGTTCCTTTGAAGCTAGAGTCGATTTTTCATCCTTGGCAAGCTCGGGACTTGCGCATTCTGCAGGAGAATCTGGTCGGGATTCTTGCGCCGGAGAAAATGTCGTTTTTGGAGCTTCATCTACAGGAGACGAGGCGGTTACAGCAGCACCGACCTGCGAGAGCTCTGCTGGCTTGGTAAGAGTTGCTGTGGTAGATGAAACCGGAGCGACGACATGTGAAAAGTCACCCTCGGCCACGTCAACAGGACTTGAGTCCGTTGGCAGTTTTCCTCCTGGGCCCGCTTGAAGGCTAAGCGCAAGGCTAGCTCTTTTCACAACTTCGATCTCAGAGAACTCCACGGCCGCTTCCTCAATTGGTGATGAGGCAGTTTCAGCAATTGACTCTGGAAGCGGGGCTTCTTCGGGGGAGATGGAAGACTTTGGCTCGGCCTCAACATCGACGGCAGCTTCATGGTCACTTGCCACAGATACTGGTCTGGGCGAGATCTCCTTCGAAAGGATAGCGGACTTTTCAGACAGAGACTCGCGTCGGGAGGGCTCATTCGACTTGTCGTCTCTAATTTTCTCAGGCGTTTCAAGATCATCTTTAATGCTTTCAGCAACAGATCCTGGCCTGGAGACTTCCTTTGAAGCCAGTGGGGACTTCTCGTCCTTATCACTGGCGGTCGTTAGGCTTTGAGCAACCGATTCCCGGCGGCTTTCTGGCTTTTCTGCTTCATCTTTTAGGCTTTCCACAACGGATGCCGGGCGCGATTTGTCGTCCTGGGAACAGTTAAAATATATAGTCAAAAATTAAATTGAAAATATTAAAGCCTTACCAGAACACTTTCCGCCTTTACGCTTTCAGCCACAGATTCCCTTCGAGGCGGCACTTTGGATTTTTCGGTTTCATCGTTAATACTTTCAGTAACAGACTCTGGTCGGGACGCTTCCCTAGAAGCAAGTGAAGACTTGACAACCTTTGAACTATCCGACTTTACGCTTTCTGCGACAGATGACCGCCGGGATGGTTCCTTGGATTTATCTGCCTCGTCTTTAACACTCTCCGCCACGGATTCCGGCCGAGAAATTTCCTTCGAGGCTGCTGGCGACTTCTCGTCTTTAGCACTTTCCGGTTTAACACTCTCAGTTACAGATGCACGGCGACTTTCTGGTCTCTCAGCATCGTCTTCAATGCTTTTTACCACCGATTCTGGTCTTGATGCTTCCCTGGATACCTGAACAGATGGAATACCCTTGCTGCTTTCCGCCTTAATGCTTTCGGCTACCGACTCTCGCCGAGATGCTTCCTTCGACTTTTCAGCCTCATCGTTTACGCCTTCCACAACAGATGCGGACCTCGACGTTTCTTTAGATGGCAGTGCTGATTTTTCATCCTTAATACTTTCTGCCTTAATGCTTTCTGCCACCGACTCTGGCCTAGACGGTTCCTTGGACTTCTCAGCCTCATCTTTTACACTTTCTGCAACGGATGCTGGTCGAGATGCCAATGGAGATTTTTCGCCCTTTGTAGAATCTCCTTTGGCGCTTTCTGCAACAGATTCGGGGCGCGAGGCCTCCTTCGACTGGGTATCTCCTTTGCTTTCAACAATAGCCTCTGGTCGCGAAATTTCCTTTAAGGCAACAGTTTCCACAACAGATTCAGGCTTGTCGGTGTCATCCCTATCGCTTTCCGCTATTGATTCCGCTCTAGAGACATTCTTAGAGGCGATAGGCGACTGGTCAACCTTGCTGATTTCCTCATTAATAATTTCGGACACGGACCCTGGTTGTGATGGTTCTGCGGATTTATCGACTTTGTCTTTCACATTTTCCGCGGCCGATTCTGGGCGCGATACATCTTTGGAGGCCTGAGAAGACTTTGCATCTGTCTTTATGGTTTCAGCGACCGACTCTCGTCGGCTCTCAGGCCTTTTAATTTTATCTAGGATACTCTCAATTACTGATCCGCGCCTTGACCCTTCTTTCGATGCAAGTGGGGAGATCGCTTCCTTCACACTTTCAGCTATCGATTCCCGTCGGGAGAGTTCTTTTGATTTTTCAGCGTCATCTTCAACACTTTCTGCCACTGAGTCTGGACGCGATCCTTCCTTGGCGGCTTGAGCGGCCTTCTCGTTCTGTTTGCTCTCTTCTGTGGTGCTTCCTGCAACAGATTCTGGCCTGGAAGCGTCCTTCGAGGCAAGTGGGGACTTCTCGTCCTTGACGCTGTCGGCAACAGACTCCCGGCGACTATCTACGTCCTCAGCGGATTTTTCTCCTTTTGCGCTTTCTGCAACAGATGCCGATCGGGGTGGTTCAACAGGTTTGTCAGCTTCATCTTTGACGCTTTCTGCAACGGATTCTGGCCTGGAAGCTTCCTTTGATGCAAGTGGAGACTTCTCGTCCTTTGCACTGTCTGGCTTGACGCTTTCGGCTACAGACTCCCGGCGACTTTCTACGTCCTCAGCGGATTTCTCTCCCTTGGCGCTTTCTGCAACAGATGCCGGCCGGGATGGTTCAACAGATTTATCAGCTTCATCTTTGACGTTTTCTGCAACGGATTCTGGCCTGGAAGCTTCCTTTGATGCAAGTGGAGATTTTTCGTCCTTTGCACTGTCTGGCTTGACGCTTTCGGCTACAGACTCCCGGCGACTTTCTACGTCCTTGGCGGACTTCTCTCCCTTGGCGCTTTCTGCAACAGATGCCGGTCGGGATGGTTCAACAGATTTATCAGCTTCATCTTTGACGTTTTCTGCAACGGATTCTGGCCTGGAAGCATGCGTTGATGCAAGTGGAGATTTTTCGTCCTTTGCACTGTCTGGCTTGACGCTTTCGGCTACAGACTCCCGGCGACTTTCTACGTCTTCAGCGGATTTCTCTCCCTTGGCGCTTTCTGCAACAGATGCCGGCCGGGATGGTTCAACAGATTTATCAGCTTCATCTTTGACGTTTTCTGCAACGGATTCTGGCCTGGAAGCATGCGTTGATGCAAGTGGAGATTTTTCGTCCTTTGCACTGTCTGGCTTGACGCTTTCGGCTACAGACTCCCGGCGACTTTCTACGTCCTTGGCGGACTTCTCTCCCTTGGCGCTTTCTGCAACAGATGCCGGTCGGGATGGCTCAACAGATTTTTCAGCTTCTTCTTTGACGCTTTCTGCAACGGATTCTGGCCTGGAAGCTTCCTTTGATGCAAGTGGAGATTTTTCGTCCTTTGCACTGTCTGGCTTGACGCTTTCAGCTACAGACTCCCGGCGACTTTCTACGTCTTCAGCGGATTTCTCTCCCTTGGCGCTTTCTGCCACAGATGCCGGTCGCGATGGTTCCACAGATTTGTCAGCTTCTTCTTTGACGCTTTCTGCAACGGATTCTGACCTGGAAGCTTCCTTTGATGCAAGTGGAGACTTCTCGTCCTTTGCACTGTCTGGCTTGACGCTTTCAGCTACAGACTCCCGGCGACTTTCTACGACTTCGGCGGACTTCTCTCCTTTGGCGCTTTCTGCAACAGATGCCGGTCGGGATGGTTCAACAGATTTGTCAGCTTCATCTTTGACGCTTTCTGCAACGGATTCTGGCCTGGAAGCTTCCTTTGATGCAAGTGGAGATTTTTCGTCCTTTGCACTGTCTGGCTTGACGCTTTCAGCTACAGACTCCCGGCGACTTTCTACGTCTTCAGCGGATTTCTCTTCCTTGGCGCTTTCTGCCACAGATGCCGGTCGCGATGGTTCCACAGATTTGTCAGCTTCTTCTTTGACGCTTTCTGCAACGGATTCTGACCTGGAAGCTTCCTTTGATGCAAGTGGAGACTTCTCGTCCTTTGCACTGTCTGGCTTGACGCTTTCGGCTACAGACTCCCGGCGACTTTCTACGACTTCGGCGGACTTCTCTCCTTTGGCGCTTTCTGCAACAGATGCCGGTCGGGATGGTTCAACAGATTTGTCAGCTTCATCTTTGACGCTTTCTGCAACGGATTCTGGCCTGGAAGCTTCCTTTGATGCAAGTGGAGATTTTTCGTCCTTTGCACTGTCTGGCTTGACGCTTTCGGCTACAGACTCCCGGCGACTTTCTACGACCTCGGCGGACTTCTCTCCCTTGGCGCTTTCTGCAACAGATGCCGGTCGGGATGGTTCAACAGATTTGTCAGCTTCTTCTTTGACGCTTTCTGCAACGGATTCTGGCCTGGAAGCTTCCTTTGATGCAAGTGGAGATTTTTCGTCCTTTGAACTGTCTGGCTTGACGCTTTCGGCTACAGACTCCCGGCGACTTTCTACGTCCTTGGCGGACTTCTCTCCCTTGGCGCTTTCTGCAACAGATGCCGGCCGGGATGGCTCAACAGATTTGTCAGCTTCTTCTTTGACGCTTTCTGCAACGGATTCTGGCCTGGAAGCTTCCTTTGATGCAAGTGGAGACTTCTCGTCCTTTGCACTGTCTGGCTTGACGCTTTCAGCTACAGACTCCCGGCGACTTTCTACGTCCTTGGCGGACTTCTCTCCCTTGGCGCTTTCTGCAACAGATGCCGGCCGGGATGGCTCAACAGATTTGTCAGCTTCTTCTTTGACGCTTTCTGCAACGGATTCTGGCCTGGAAGCCTCCTTTGATGCAAATGGAGACCTTTCATCCTTTACACTGTCTGGCTTGACGCTTTCGGCTACAGACTCCCGGCGAGTATCTACGTCCTCGACGGATTTCTCTCCTTCGGCGCTTTCGGCAGCAGATGCCGGCCGGGATGGTTCAACGGATTTTTGTGCTCCTTCTTTGACGCTCTCTGCAACGGATTCTGGCCTGGAAGCTTCTTTTGATGCAAGTGGAGACTTCTCGTCCTTTGCACTGTCTGGCTTGACGCTTTCGGCTACAGACTCCCGGCGAGTATCTACGTCCTCAACGGACTTCTCTCCTTTGGCGCTTTCTGCAACAGATGCCGGCCGGGATGGTTCAACGGATTTGTCAGCTTCATCTTTGACGCTCTCTGCAACGGATTCTGGCCTGGAAGCTTGCGTTGATGCAAGTGGAGACTTTTCGTCCTTTGCACTGTCTGGCTTGACGCTTTCGGCTACAGACTCCCGGCGAGTATCTACGTCCTCAACGGACTTCTCTCCTTTGGCGCTTTCTGCAACAGATGCCGGCCGCGATGGTTCCACGGATTTGTCAGCTTCATCTTTGACGCTTTCTGCAACGGATTCTGGCCTGGAAGCTTCCTTTGATGCAAGTGGAGATTTTTCGTCCTTTGCACTGTCTGGCTTGAGGCTTTCGGCGACAGACTCCCGGCGAGTATCTACGTCCTCAACGGACTTCTCTCCCTTGGCGCTTTCTGCAACAGATGCCGGTCGCGATGGTTCAACAGATTTTTCAGCTTCTTCTTTGACGCTTTCTGCAACGGATTCTGGCCTGGAAGCTTCCTTTGATGCAAGTGGAGACTTCTCGTCCTTTGCACTGTCTGGCTTGACGCTTTCAGCTACAGACTCCCGGCGACTTTCTACGTCCTTGGCGGACTTCTCTCCCTTGGCGCTTTCTGCAACAGATGCCGGCCGGGATGGCTCAACAGATTTGTCAGCTTCTTCTTTGACGCTTTCTGCAACGGATTCTGGCCTGGAGGCTTCCTTTGATGCAAGTGGAGACTTCTCGTCCTTTGCACTGTCTGGCTTGACGCTTTCGGCTACAGACTCCCGGCGGCTATCTACCTTATCAGCTTGATCTTTAATGCTTTCAGCAACGGAATCTGGCCGGGACACTTCCTTGGTGGCAAGGGAAGACTTTTCAACTTTGACGCTTTCTGAAATTGATTCACGACGGGAGCCAGCCACTGAGCCTGGTCGGGAAGCTTCTCGATGTCTTTCAGGTTCCTTGGCTTCATCTTTGACGATCTCTGCAGCGGATTGCCGCCGAGAAACTTCTTTAGACGCAAGTGGGGACTTCTCGTCTTTTGAACTATCAGGCTTTGTTCCACCCGCCACCGATTCGGGGCGGGAGGACTCTTTGGATTTGTCGGCTTCTGGCTGCTCAGCATCGTCCTTGACGCTTCCAGTTGCAGACTGAGGACGGGAGGCCTCCGTCGATGCAAGTGGCGACTTGTCGGCTTTGGTGCTCTCGGCGGCAACCGGTCCCTTTTGTGAATCCTGTTTTTGGGCTTCTTGCTTGGCCTCCACCTCGACTTCTATTGCCTCCTCGATGGTGGCTGGACTCTCCATCGAGACGGTGTCCTCACGATCCCTACTATCTTTTGGGGGAACGGTCATCGTGATCTGTTCCGCCAGCTGCGCTGGCAGCTCATCTTCGGAAGTAATGTCGCTGGTCTCCTTCTCTTCAGGAGTGCTGGCAGACTTTTTGGTCTCCTTTTCCGTGATGATTCCCAACTCTGCCTTTTGATCAGGCACTTCTTCCTTCTCTTTTTCTTGATCCTTTTGCTGTTCCTGACCTGCTTGGGCAGCGGCTATACCTATCTCCACAATCCTTTCGGTGTCGAGGGTCACCAACTCCTCTGTCTGTTTCTTCACTACAGCCTCAGTTGCCACAAATTCTTCGGCCACCTCCTGTGCTGACTGTTTGAGTTCTACTTTGTAGGGTTCTTCCTTTTTCGGTTCAGCTTCTGGTTCTACCTCTGCTTCCTTGGCCTCCTTCTCGTCGTCGGTCTCCTTTTCTTCCTTGGCGGATTCTTCTTTGTGTGAGATGCTTTTGGCGCCGGCGTCCTGACTATCTTTTTCGTATAGCCCGAGATCGGCTTCCTCATGGACGGGTAGATCTGCCACTTCGTCGGGAGTTTTGATGACATCACGCAGAAGGTTCTGCTGCGCCTCGAAGGTCATCTTCATGGGGAGCACCCGCTCACCGGATTCGTGCAGCTCACCCAAAATCTCGACCTCGGCGTGTTTGGGGGCATCCTTGGCGGTTGCGACTAATACATCCGCGATTGCGGATGGTGCCGCTTTGGAAAGAGCATGTACGTGTGTCACGGCAATAGCCTCTACTTCCTTGGTCTCCTCCTTTATATACTTCTCCTCGATCACCAGGTCCTCCTTGATTTGATCCAGCGGAATGCGCTCGTCCTCGGGAAGTGTGGGCGCCGTAGTTGCCCCCGACTCAATGGTGGCCGAGAACTTCTCCTCGGGCAGGCTTTCCTGAAGATTGACGAGCATGACGTCTACTGGTGCTCCGTGTGGCTCATCCTTTGTGTCTGACGTCTTCTTGCTCAGTTTCTCTTCGGGCGTAGGCGAGGAGAACTCCTCCTCGGCGGGCTTTGTCAATGGCTCCTCGGTACGCGACTTGGCAATGTCCTTAGCAGTTGCAATGATTTCCTGGACCTCCGCCTTGATTTCGGCCTGCTCCAAGTCCGCATCCAATTCCGGTTCGTCTTGCAGGGCAGAGGCCGAGGCCGAGGCGCCCTCCAGTCGCGCTTTGCGCTCGGCGGCTTCTACCTTTGCAATGGCCGCCTCGATCTCCTCCTCGGCACTCTTTTTGCGCTTCTTTTCTGATTCTTGTGAGTCGCGCTGGTGCTTCTGGATCTCCTCCTCCTTGGTCATGCTGCTCTCTTGCTCGACGATTGAGTCTTCGGTATACTGCTCCACTTCCTCCTTTTCGATTATCAGGTACTCTTCCTCCTCCTCTGGCTCATCCTCACCATCACCAGTTCCCTCGGCGGGCATTTCACGCAGCTCGGCCTTGATTTGCTGGTGCTGCTGACGCTTCATTTCGTCCCGGCTGAACACCGCCTCAATCTCACGAACCACCTCCTGTTCCTCCTTAAGGTCGTCCAATTCGCGCTGCTTCTCTGCGTCTAACTCCTGTGAGGCGGTAAGGTCCTGCAGTTTTTTGGCAGCCGTGGCTTCATCTGCGGAAGGGGTGGACACCAGGCTGGAGTCGGTGGTGCCGCCCTTATCCAGGCGCGTCTTCTTTAGGTCCACCACCTTTGGCTTCGCCTGCTTGACCGGACTTCCGGGTGCTGGTGCACGCTTTGAGGGCGAAACGCCACGAGGTCTTCGCGAGATGGGCTTCCTCTGCGTCGCCTGAGTGGCCCCAGTTGTCGCTGTCTTCGCCTCCGCTTGCTGATGCACACGCCTTTCACTTGCAGTGCTAGTGATCCTCCTGGAGGTTGTGCTTGAGGCCTGCACTCTAGCCGCTTGCTGCTTGGACTCCAACACTTTGCGGTTGTTGGCCTCCTTTGCGCTCTTAGCGGGGGTGCTACTTGGACTTGACTTGGTGGCCGGGCGGCTCAGCACCTTCGGTTTGACATCGCGAGCCACAGGTGCCCGCGCGGCCGGCGTAGCCGTAGGCGAGCTCTTCTTCTCGTCCCGCTTGGCCAGCTTGCGGTCCATGGACTTGGGCGGCTTGGTGTCGATGCGGGAGCGCACCACGGGCTTTACCTCCGCGCGAGGCTTTTCCGCCTTGCCCTTGGCCGACCCCTTTCCGGGCTTGCCGGTGGGCGTGGCATCGGCAGGGGCAGCATCAAGAGCATCCTTTTCAGAGGCTAGGAATGTTGCAGGTGCTGTCCCCTGCTGTGGCTTCATGATAAGCACTTCCACCTTTTTCTCCTCTTCGGCATCCTTGTTATCCTGATCGGCCTCGGGTTCGTGCTCTGGTTCCGTATCAGCCTCGGGCTCTTGTTCTGCAGGAGCTGCTTCATCGCCAGTGTCAGCGGGTTCAGGTTCCTGCTCTTGCTCCGGCTCTACATCCGTGTCGATGGAATCGGCTTTGGTGCGAACGATGGATGCCGCGGATGCAGCCGCAGCCGCAGCCGCTGCCGCTGCAACTGCCGCCGCCTCTCTTGCCTTGTTGTCTTGCTGCTGCGGATGCTGGACGGCTATAGCGGCACTGGCCACGGGCCCGAACTTCGAGGATTTGTAGCTGGCGCTGGGCGGAGCGGGCGTAGCTTCAATGGCCGACTTTAGGCTTTTGCGAACGCCGGGCACGGTCTGGATGGCGGGGGCAATCGATTTGGCTGTGCAGGTGGAGTGCTTCATGAACTCCAGGTGCTTAAGTTTCTCGAGGCCCTCCTGGATCTTGAAGTCAGGAGTACTGCCCGGGAAGAGGATACGGGTGATAGTGTCGTCCGGGTTGGCGGGCTGCCACACGAGCAACGCGCATATGGATACCAAGTTCTGCAGCGGGAAGTTAAAGTCACGAGACTCTCGGGCGGCAAAGAGCCGCTGGTCGCCGGCGTGCCACTTCTGAAGGAACTCCTTCACCTCTTTAGAGTCGCGTGCCGGGCTTATCACATACATATCCAGGGTGCCGTGTCCCACCTTGTGGTAGAGGTTCACCGGCTCCTGGTTGCGGTAGCAACCCTGCGGCTTCAGGTCCAGTGCCTTCAGGTCGCTGACGATCCCGTGTCCGCGCTCGAAGAGATCGATCAGCAGTGGGTCGCGGTCCTTGTCGCCGTCGGGGCTGGGGAGCCCCTTGCGGTCAGGTACGTTGCCGAAGAAGTGTCCGATCTGGGGGTAGACGTGGGAGTCCCGCTTGCGCGACACCACCGCCCCCAGGCCCTGTACGTTGCTGTTGTTAAGGCGCGTCATCAGAACCGCGTCCAGTCGGTCCAGGTGCCGGGCAAAGTCCCAGAAGCATGCCTTCCGATTGAAACCGCCGTCAACTGTTCGGTGAAAGGTGGTTGGTAAGTATTCCTTATATAATTATATGTACTTCATTAAACGCTATACGTACCCAGCATGTTAAAGCCGTTGATCCCGAAGAGCGCAGCGTCACCCTGACCGCCGGGGAAGACGTAAAGCGTGGGATGCGTGAAGCGGATATTTCCCACGACGTCCGAGGTCTCGAGTAGCTCCCTCAGCGAGGTCGGCATCACCATGGGCGCCAGATAATCTGAAAACAGTGTCATTGTTATTAAATGACCAAATATATGACCAATGATCGAAAATTTTCCGAAAATTCAGAAAAGGATCCAGGATAAAAGACCGACCCAAAATTGTAAATTAAAATGCATATATTTTGGCATGTTGTTTTGGTTCGAACAGTCTTACCTATAAAGCCGTTGATGCACTCGCTGCTCGTGTCCAGGACGTCCACAGGGTTGATCTGGATCCGGCACTGGCGCGCAAAGGACTTCTCCGGGAGAGTGTGCCACAGACCCGCGTCCGCGCAGTGGATGTTCATGGTGATGGTGTCCGCGTAAGCGCGAATCACCCTTTGTACGTCGTGCTCCTGGAGAGCCTCGGAGAAGTCCGCCACAGAAAAAGTTCCATCCTGCAAATAAACCGCGTATAAGCGTCCCATTCGGAAAAAATGAGGAGTAGAGGGTCAGACCTGCAGTATCCAGGAACCATTGCCACTGAAGGTGTAGCCGGCGTGGATGATGTGCCGGTGGCGGGTAAAGCTGCTTAGCAGGTTGCGCATGCACTGGATCAGAGTGTTGTACTGCGGATGGATGAGCACCTCCGTCACTAGATTCTCACTGGCATATTGAATGAGTCGTTCGCCTGTATGAAAAGGGTTTAGAAAATATGTTCTATTAGTTCACGGTGGTCTACTATAATACGTTTTTCTATATCTATACCCAACAGGGCCTAAAGCTGGTGATAAACGGTGAGTCAGCTGTACGTGATATTTATATATTTTGATATTCTAAGCAGTATTTAACCTCTATGGCTTGCATGTAAAAGTACTGTGACGCTAATGATGCAGTGCCACCAGCTCCCACAACACCAGATTATATGGCGGAAATGGAGTTTGCGGGATTGAGGCAAGCGATTTCACCCTTTTATGGGCTGACCTCCTTCTTTCAGGCCAGTCACACCGTCCACCGTTGTCGGGACGCACAGTTCCCCCCAATGAATGGGTAAACAGACGGTCAGAGGTGCTGCCAGAGATGCTAGGCACGGACTTGGACTCGAGCACGCACGGCACATCAAGTGTATTTCGATTGTCAAGGGTTGGCTTCATTGTCTTGACTGCTGGCACACTACAGCCCCCTCGAGGCCCAGTTGCCGTGGCTAGAAATCATTTAATGAATCTTTAATTGTAATGCTTTAATTAAGCCCTTAGTTGTGTTTTCAGTTTCGTGTGACCTTGCCGGCGACCTTGGCCCCTCCCTTTCCTTCACTGCCCCTTGCCTAACCACGATAATAATGATAAAGATAGGAGCGATGATGAGGCTTTTTCGGACCCCATCGTCGAAATGTTTTTATGTGTATGTGTATGTACGTAAATAATTTACGCATTTTCCGCACTAAATAGTCGTTGACAAGCCATCTGTATGGAGGACTGGTGCACCACCACCTCCGGGGCAGTGGTCAAATGTGCTCACGTACGCGTAAAAAATACAAGACAAAAGTACCGGTGGGGTGGTCGTGGTCGTGGTCGTGTTCGTGTTTGTGGATGGCTATTGGCTTGTATGGCTTCATCCAGCTGTTGGCCCTGTGGCATGTGTATCCCTTGTGCTTTTTATAAATGATAATCTCGGAGACCCAACCCGACCTGCGTATGTTCTCCTACGGCTTATATTTATCGCACCGAGCACAGAGTACAGAGCACGGGACAGGGAACCCAGTGACATATACATATATGTATGTGAGTCCCTGCAGTCCGTGCGTATACGCAATTTGCTGAATTTAGGTCGTCTATTGCCCCAAGAGCTGTCTCTACCACTTTCCTGCTTCTTTTCGCTGTCTCTTGCTTAGGGCATAATCGTAAGAATGTTTAGTTTATAACTAGGCTATAGAAGTCGGCTTGGGAAAAAGAAACCGCAAGGCGTCCCAGGGCCATGCGGCATTAGCATCTTGCTGGCCAAGCCACTGCCAAGTAGTCTACCACGACAGGGCAGTCCCTGAAGGGGAAAACGCCGGATTGGAAGGGAATACGAACTTGGACGCTACATGACTCAATTTAAAAGGAGCTTTAAGTTGATTGCCAATACTTTGGGATTTTCCTTTTACCTTATTTTTTTGCTACTTATACTTATTAAACACCATTGAATTGAATTTAATTCCCCAATTTAAAATTCTATGAAACTATACTCGTGAATCCCGTTTGCAATGTAATTGTACCAAATTGTAGGTTGTCCGTAAATTGTAGCAGCACCCCCACCGAGTTTCGTACGTCCAGAAGTAGATGGCATTTATAAAGTAAAGCTTGTCAAGGCAGATCGGATATCGCGGGTGAGTTGTTCACTTGAGAGTCGCAAAAGTTGGCTAAGCCGCACACCCGCAACAAAGTGGCTGCAAAGTGTTTGGAGCCAACACCCTGGCAGACCCAGAACCCCACTTGACAAATAATACCGAATGGAAACGGAAGAGGGCCAAACTTAGGTTTAAATTCCGAGTCAGGGAATTGCAGGGCAGACTTCTGCTCAATGCTGTCCGCACCTCATGCCAAACTGACATAATGGCGTTAGATTAACCATTAATAACTGCGCCCGAGGCCAGAGTAACGAACTTTTTTTGTAACTAAGCGCGAAATGGAAAACAAAGTTGCATAACAAGAGCCGCTGAAAACTTTGTGTGTTTTATGATTTCGTTTTTTCGTCTTTTTTTGTTTTGTTGCAATGTAATTACAGTTACAGCGCCAATCAGCCCTTCTGCCTTTTCACCTACTTTCACCCGCTATGAACCTTTCTCGCCACCGCAGTTTGGAAAAGTTTGCAGAGACCACACCTTCTCGAGCGCCACCAAAAAAGAAGGAAGTTGTCCAAATTTGAATAATTAGGAAACTCATTGGGTTTAAGTTTAAGGCTGCTGATAGCAGGGAGTTGTTTCTTAGTAATAAATATGTGTAAAGGAATCATCTAAATATTTAAATATTCAATTAATAGTTTTTCATAAGCCTAGTTAATACACTCACTCACTAACTGCTCACTGCAACTGATAATTGTTGGTAGAAGAGTCAGGGAATAGCAAAAATATGCACCGGTGGTCCCATGTTTCGTGTAAAACCACATTAATAATGTATACCCATTTGATGGTTCTGCACCGCACAGATGGCCAGTGGATGGCGTATTTTGCCAGGTTATCCCCCAGCTGATAAATTATGTATATTAACACTGTGCATATTCATGTAGCTGTTAATTTCCCACAGCTCATCTTGGTGTTCGCCTTGCCCCACTCCTGTCTTCAGCTCCCCTGAGTGCCCAAACGCCTTAATTGGCTGCGCTTATCCCGGCCTGTCAGCATGGCCATATTTATAAACGTCCAGTGCACTAATCCCTGGGAATTAATATGATACTTTAATTAGCGGTTTCAGCTGCGCTGCAAGAGAGGTGGGTGGCTGTACACGTGGCAGCCGTATATTAATGCCACCCAGCCATGAGGGAAGCCATCGGCCCTGGCATCATTAATCAGCGCACATAATGTGTCTGAATCTTCTCTGGTTACGTAAACGTAGATGGACTCGGGGCAACCGGGACACTCGGGTTTCGAGCGGAGGAGAGAGGTGCGCCAGTTAAACAAAGCCAATAACATGTTGTAAACGTCAAGCGATGTGTTCTCACTCTTCCTTCCGGCCATAATCGAAAGGATGCGGTGCGGAGAGTCTCCGCAAATGACAGACAGAAATGACAGCGTCCCCTCGCTGATATTAATTGATGTCCTGTCAACATGTTACCCGCATTTCGGGAGTTGGAGGCCAGGGGCAGATACTCCTTTGTCTACTGCAAATGCGATGCTTCTCGTCCTGCATCATTATAGTTTATTTGGCTATCGCTGCTGGGCCAGTTTTCCCACCTACACTTTCCACCTTCCCCTCCTGCTCCTTCCATATGCAAATCATGCGAAAAACAAAAATTTCCATGTGGGTGTGTCAGATAGCCAGTCTGGCAGTCTGCCTCTGTTATTTGCCTAACTGCCGTCTCTTTCGGACGCCATATAGCCAGACTTGTTCTCCGACTGAATTATGCATGAACCGCACACATGGCCATTGTCAATACGGCCTTGAAGGCACGCCTGTATGCGTGACTTCCACCCACTTTCCATCTCGTTCCCTCTATATACACATTCGCATATCCTTGTTTTTGAATCACTATGTGTGGGTGGGCGGCACGGACGAACTTTATCTTTCTTTCAATTTTGCATACGTTTTATCTCGAGAATTTGTATGGCTTTAGAGGTTAGGTTGGGTCGAGATACGGCTTGGCATTCTATTGTGCCACGCCCCTCATCAGCCCATCTTTTCATTGCTTATGTGGGATTCAGCTTAGGCACGATAAGAATGTGTCTAAATCCCCAGATAATCCTAAGAGCGGGTTGAACAAGAAATGAGGAACGAGTGCATGGGAATGGAGGGTTCGAAAGGAGAGCGAGTGTAGAGTCAAAATAACGAGCAAACCTAAGGACCAGATAATGAAAAAACCTAGTATGTATGTACGTGCAAAGACTAATGCCGACTGAAGAATATCGAGTGGTAACACGAAACGAGTGGCTAAAACACAGAAACGAGCAGAAAATTGGATTGACGAGTTTTTCCTCATATTTGTGCGACTGGTAAAATAGTAATGTAAATAAGATAACCAAGAGTTTTGTTCGTTCTTGCATCCTGGTGGCAAATTTCACCACCTTTTCCCTAGCCAAGGAGGACTTCATTACTGCGAGGACCCGTGGGGGTGTTTTCTTGATGGGATGCCCTTTCAAAGTTCCCAAACTTTTTGCGTCCCACAAGGAAACTTAAGTAAACTGCATCAAGTCCAGTTGAAGGGCTAGGTAAAGAGAAGAAGAGGTGCTGATGAGGTTGGGGGCCAATGTCAGCTTCAGGCCAACTTTGGACATAACCTTGTAAGTAGATCGGAGTCGGGTTCATAAATTATTATTTTTAACAAATGTTTCTCATTGGAAAAAACCTTCAAGTTTGGGAAGTCCATCTGCTTTAAAAGCAGCCACGCTGGCAGGTGGACAATTCGGACACCGACGCCTCCTTTGTCGGGGCTTTTTACCATCATCCCCCCGCTTAGACTGGGAATTTGGGCGAGCACAATGCGCCCGGCGAAGCGAGTGCATTCTGTGCATTCTCAATCGCACCTCAAGTGCCCCTTCCATCTGCCAGCCCGCGCTCCTCCGCTGCTCTGGTTATGCTTATGGCGTTGCACCATCATTATTGGGCTTTGGACCGCTTTGTGGCAGCGCCACTTGAGAATTTTGTTTGAGTAGTTTCGAGTTGTGTGAGGGAAGGGGAAAAGGGAGGGAACGCAAACCAAACGCGATTGCGAATGCAAATGGAAAATGAAAAATCCGCTGGCGTTGCCAAGTTTTCCCCATCCGGACAATGGTTGAATAGAGGGCATTGAGCGCAGGTGTTGCACTTAGCGTGTCCTTCAAGGACAACGCCTCTGCATCAGCGTCAAACAAGAGGCCTGCCAAGAAGAAGAACGCGCCTTATCACTGCCAACTCTGGGCCGTCTAAAGCGTACTAGAGTTTCAATGTCGCTTGGAAATAATGCACTCCAATGGAAAAGATTTCTCACGCTGGGTTCTTGAGAAATCAAAAATATTTTTATTTAATTTTTGGGAGGGGAACTTCTGCTATGTGTGAGAAACAGTTTAGTTTCATGTCTACCTATAAGGTCGTTGCGATGTAATACAGGTTTAAAAACCAAAAACAAGCTTAGTATTATTTATAAAATTTCTCCTGACCCTTGGCTTTCAGGAGTCTAAACGAACGAAACATCCTCAATAATATTCTTACTTTCGGCTAGCTTCAACAGACAGGTATCAACTAAATCATTGCGAATGTGCAAATTTTAAGACTCCAGGATTTTGTGGAAATGGTGCGGCTTGAGGGGACTGAAGGATGGAAACAAATCCCAATCATCTCCAGAGCAAGTCAACGAAGTGGGTATACATGGAGCAGCAAAGCTTGCGGAAGCGGGACTTGGTTTATGCAGTGACAGCCACTTCAGTGCGTTTCAACAGCGTTTAAAACTAATCCGCAAAGACAACAGCGCCGTCAGCCAGCTTATTGTTGCTCCTGTCGATGGCAATGACGATGATGATGATTTCGCTACTGTTGCACTTGGGCAAATGAAAATGCATCCTCTCGTTTAGCAGCTCTTGGGCTGGGATTTATCACAAAAGCCAAAACAACAAAGAAGCCAAACAACAAAGCATAAAGGCGTTGAGCTTTCGGCTTTGTGCTTTCAATTGTTGTTTATCCGAGCCCGTGCCCCCTGAAATCCCCTCTGTGGAAAGACAATTGTCATAATAATTCTTTGGAATAACTTTTGTAATTTGCCCCATCTCATTGGTTGCCTACGTTCGATAATCTCTAAATGGCACAGCGATTGCCAAACCGATTTTGCTAATTGGAGTTGCCTCACAAATGACTTCCAGTGGGCCAAAATATAGATTCTGGACTTACCGTGACGAGCCTCCTCGCCTTCGGGCGCATGCTGTGTAATTGTATTGAGCTCCTCTTCCAAGTCGACGTGACAATCGGAAACGTCCCAGGAAAGGAAACCTGTAAGGAAAGAAGGAGGGAGTATAAGTATCAGTAAACAATGTCATAAGTTATTAATTATTAGGCGATCATTAAGTATACTAGCTGAATATTATTTCGCGTAGATCGCCATCAATTCCTTTTTTTATTTTAAACAAGAAATTAATTATAGTTAATGAGGAAACTGATTTAGGCATACACTAGTCTTCCCCTCCAACCCTTCATTGAAATGTGCATTATTTTAATTCAAACGTTAAGATAATAAATTACCAGTTTATTAAGAACTGGATCCAGATTCTCGAAAATAATCTTAGAGATCACTCAAAGTAGTTTGGTGTAGCTATACAATGCCTGTAAAGGATTGGCTATCCCTTGTTTTCATCAGCAAGGGGGTCAAAAACGGGGACAGGGAACTGGAGAGGTCATATTACGCATACGCCACAAATAACTAGACTGGACGCACCCCGACCGCCTTTTGCTATTTGTTTAGCCGCTGCGGCTATGTATTATGTCATTTGGTCAACAAATTAAGTCAGCAGTCTGACTTTCGATGAATGGCACACAGCTCTCCGGAGGGCGTGGCCCGGCCCCTCCATAATTTTCATGCTCCATAGTTTTCGCCTGGCATTTCGTTTCCTCCTTGGGCGAAATTTTATTTATGCGTATGCAACGCGGCATGAAAAGCATCGAGCTTTCACGAGCGAGGGCAGGTGTGTGCCTTTAAATTAATCGAATCACCTTTGGGTCCTTTCAAACTCTGGCTTTAAGCCCCAGTTGACAGGTTCAAGAGGCCCCAGGGAGCTTCTTTAATTTCCATTCGGCTGCCGTGTCTGGATGTCTGCGAGATCTGACAGATTGTAAATTATTCCTAAGCCCCTTGAAAATTTAATGAACACTCTCAAAAAAGACCCTGACATCGTTGTCGCGAAACGATATTCAAACGCCTTAATGAGTGCTTAAATTCCATTTTTATGCCAACGCCGTCAGATGCAAATGAAGCGCTTCTCCGCGGGGACGCTGTTGGCATGCAATATCATTGAATGGCAGATGGTTCCAGATCATCGGCCGGGTGGAGAAGGTAAAGCCCTGGTTTTTGGCCTAAGCCAGAAAAATATAACAATATTACCCTTCCGGCCGCCGCCTGTCACCGCTCACTGCGGCAATTTGCACAAATGGCTGGCAACAGCAACAAAAGCGGCTAAAAAAGTGAACTCAAGGCATAAAAATGTAAAATCTTAACACTTTTTTAACCAGCTACCATGGTCGCACACACAAACTACAAAGCCATATTCAGGCAGGATCAGGACATTGTGTGGGCAAACAAAAGGGAAAGCGAAGAATAAAGCGGAGGCAGCCGAGAAAAGGGGGCAGACGGAGTCAAAAGCGCCTACAGCGATTGCACAAAAATAATGAGGAAGCGCTCAGGATATGCGACGGCAGCATATACGTATATATAGTATACATTTGTACGTATATATGGTAGGGATATACTCGTGTGGAAGGACCCCTCTCACAGTTGCTGTCACGTTCGGTTGAGCAATCATCGAGCGAATGAAGCCACTTAGGCGGAGGAGGAAGACGGCGGAAACCGAATCCAAGTCCAAGTCAGAACCTCCCACGCAGTTTCGCCTTCGCCCCTAGCCCAACGCTCATTTAGTATTTATACGTTGATATCTGTGAGCGAGACTTCAATTTGCCCAGTTCAAGGACCAGACTCGACGCTTATTTATTTATATTTAGTTTTTGGCTTCACCCTCGAAACTCCCCACTGTTTTAGCCGGCCAAATTACATACGTAGGAAAATAATGATTTTTTGTTGAGCTCTTACAGTTCTGTGAAATTTATGAAATGGGGATCATTTTCGTAACCTATTCCACATTCCTCGTTTTTAGATGAGTGCTAGTTTAAGGCAGGCTTGCACCTTGTTGGCGCCCAAAACCTGATTTTTTTTCTGGAATTTATTTCTTGGAAAGTATGATACCTACCATATAAAATTTTAGCCAGTTGTAGGGTACAGTTTATTGAAGCTACACAATTTTTTTGAGGGCGATCCAAGTGAAGGGGGGAGGGGGAGTACCCAACAATGGCGGCATGTCCGCGAAAAACTAGGCCTCATGGCGGATTTTTTAAAATTTTAAGAAATAATCTGAAACGCAAAAAACGAATATATTCTTCATCTGTACACTTTTTCGCATCGCTGGAACTAGGATAATTGAAAAAACATGAAAAATGCAAAAATTATGAGCTTTTGAAAAAAAATCGGGTTTTTCCTCATTTTTTCGTTACTCATTATTTTTTTAAATAAACAATTTTTAATATTTTCAAAAGATCCTAGTTCCAGACATGCACATACTTCTGAGGAACATGTATAAAAATTTCATGACGATTGCTCAATTTTTGCGACTTGTACCACTTCCGCCAACTCGGAAAACATGGTTTCGAGAAAAACGCGTTTGAAAATTTTCACTATAATGGCAACAATGTATGTCGAACTTCATACATCTCAATCAAAATATTCATCGGTACTTAAGTTTTCGGGGTCGCTGATCACGAATCTGGCATCAAATTTGCAAAATTAATTTGTTCAAACAATTTTTATGAACAATTTTTTTAAACAAATTAGATATTTCGCAAGATGCGTATACTTTCCATAGGTTTTAGTATAAATAATTTTAAATCTGATACTATTATTGATAACTTTCGTAATTGAAGAGATTTCGACTTGAAATTTTAGGAGAGTAAAATTGAAACATGTATCTATCCGAAACTGCAAAAAAAAAAATTTATTTTTTTGACCTCACAAGGTGCAAGCCTGACATGCACAATTCCGAGGTTTAGTTCTGGCATTTGTTATGTGGAGGCCTGCCCAATCTCATTTTTCCCGCATCCCCACACATAGCCGATATCGCAGGAGCCGTGGGCCTTGTGATTCCGATTCCGATTCCCTTTTACCCGTTCCGTTTTCCAGTGCACTCGCTGCGATTGAGACCGACACCCAGGTAATCGAATGCAGACGTGTCAGACAGACAGACACCTGTTTCCTGTGTCCTGTGTCCTGGGTCCCCCAACCCAAAACCTGCCCCCGGGTGGCACATCCCCTGAAGCCCCGCCACGAACGGAGCGCTGCCTGAATGTTCCTGCTCATGACGCTGCTTCCGCTTGCCATGGATGATTACTGATAGGCGCCTCGACTGCTTTCCCATGCCGCTTGCCCCTCTTGTGTGCATCAAATAGTTGCATAATTCTGTGCGCTCCCTGTGAAAGCCACTCTAGATGGGCGGCGAAGGGCAGGGAGTAGTGGTAGTGTTGATTTTGATGTAGCTAAAAAGCCACTTGACGTTGTTCGTTCGTTCGCTGTTGCTACCCCTTGAAGCCGGAAAAGCGCGTTGAAAAAGTTTGCATAGCTAATGCTCTTCTTCTTCAGCCCCCCCTCTCCCACTCGTTCGGAAAAAGAGGGGCAGAAAGTGTTCGGGGCGCGACTGGCGAAAAGGGGCTAAATGTTTGGAAATGCATAAATAAACACATTAAAAAGAAATTAAACACTTGCACATTAATTGCGTATTGAGTGAAGTGGATGGCGAAGAAGAACAGGCTTGAGATGAAGATAAACCCCAAGAAGAGGGCGCACTTGAAGGAGGAGAAGGAACTGTAGCTGAAGAACAGCCAACCAAGTGGGCGAATAAAGATAAAGGGGCTCGGACATCATAGAGTTGGGTGAAAAGCAGAGAACAGAGGGACAATAACAATTAAAACGAATCGAAAGTAAAGTAAACGAGGCGCAGAAAATAACTGGCTCCAAGGAGGGTCGAAAGCAAAAACTATACTGCGCCTGATTGCCCCGAGCCGATAAAACGAGCCTGATGAGGCGAGACACACGAACACGCCCCAGAACATCGAACGTCGGACATCGGACATCGGACACGATGTTGTTGTTATTGCGCACGCAGCGATATGTATATTTCGATAAGAATTGTAATTAATTAACACAGGCCCAGGAAGGGACAAAGGACGAGAGAAGTGAGAAATCGGATTTTCTTTAAGAAAAATTCTCTCAAAGAGATCGATAATGTACAGAGCTCTTCAATGGCGTATGTGTAACAAGAGGGTTTTGTATAAAATTGGGAACACAGTTAAGGATACATTACTAACGATATATTTTCTTTATCAGCGTCGCATATCGGGTTGTTTATTAAATTTGATCAACATATTTAATTAGCATAATTACCAATTTGCCCCAACTCTAACTGCTCAATACTTTTTAAAAATTTAATTGGTGAGCGAAGAACAGCCTTGGAGAATTGCGTCATGACGGAACATGCGTCATTATCTAATAGTCCCTGTCCTCAATGACTATCCCCACTGCCCAGACACCATTGCCTTCACCGCTGAGTCATGTCTAACTTCGGTCACTCCAGCTAACCCCCTGTATACATGATGAATGCGCAATATACTTTGAAGTGTTGTTCCCCTAATGGCTAATCAATGCTTATAGGCATCCACTATGCCACAAAACAGCGGACAACAATAAACGGGAGTTTGTGTGTGCAGACCAAACCGAACGAGGGCAAATGATTTGACAAAGTTTTTGGCAAGAGACAAAATACGCCAAAAGCCCCAATTATGAAATACAAATGCGCGAATTTGTTGGGCGGCTGATGAGGTGGGGAAACTATCAAATTTTCGGAGAGCAGGAGGTTGAGCACGTGCCACATAAATATTGCAGTAGCTAACAAAGGCCACAGTGTGTGTATGCTGGGGATGCACAATGAGAGTGGGGAAAGTGCGAGCGAGTTTCGCATAATTTATGTCACTTTATCGATTTGCCGAAGCACTGGGAGTACTAGGAGGGAATGAGATTTTTGCGGAGCCGGCGAGTGAACTCTTTTCACATTTTATAGCCTTGCATAAATTGCTCATAAATATTTCGCTGCCACGTGCGGTTGCAACATTGGGGGAAAGGTTTTGGGCTGTAACATGCCATCTTCCCGAAAATAAATCCGAAAATTCTATTATCTCACCAT